ACATTAATCTTTTGAAAATACAAAAAGTGTTCACTTTGAACTTTGATACATGTCTTTAGGATCAAAGGCCATAAATCAACATTAATTTTGACTGGTTATTAGCCCTTTGTCATTGGTCATTTTAGTAAACAACGGCCGTCAACATTTATACCATAACTTGAGAGGACTTAGTCCTGTTTATTTTTATTGGGGTAGGGACATTGCCCACCGGACAGTAGATTCCTATAACGATGTTTGAGGTTCACGGGCAGATAAACATGACACTTAATATAAATTCCTTGTCTGATGAATGATTTGAAAGAAATAAGCCGTAGTTTATATAACCTCAAAGAAGATCAGTAGATGACACCTAATAATTTTTTAGGCAATTTGGTCCAGAAATCAGCGTCACAAATGACGCTAAATCTTTGGACCAATCAATAACTTTTATTAAATGGCACTTTTACGGGACAGGAGAAAGTAGGGGCATCCTTGTTAGGAAAATTCATATAAATTTGTAATTTGATGGTTATTTATCTCGTTTCGCAACGACTTACCTTTTCTCGTGGCCACGACTAAACTTTTCTCGTGGCCACGACATAGTAACTTATTTTTAACCGACTTTATTTATTCTCGTGGCACGACTTAGTAACTCGTGGCCACGACTTAGTCATTCTCGTTTTCCCACTTATGACTTAAATTATCTCGTGGCCACAACATAGTATCTCGTTTCCCATGACTTAACTATCTCGTGGCCACGACTTAGTAACCCGTGGCCACGACTTAGTAATCTCGTGCGCACGAGAATAAATAAAAACACACCACATGTCACCTTTGTGCCAACCCGTAAGTTTGAGCATAGTTATATCTTAAAATTCCAATTCACTTATTGCTCATACGACTATCACACACGCTCAAAAAGAAGTGTTAACAATTTTATAAGAGGTGAGTTGCCACTTGTTTGAGGATGAGTTATTAGAGACATCTATAACATTTTTTCCACATGCTGTTCGAATCTCAAAAACACGCACTTTTCGTCTGTCGCAATCGTGTTCTCTTGTTTTTCAGTAAAGTTTCCCTTTACATGTCAGTCCCCAAATAACACTGTCTGTTTATACGCCCTGTATAAAGGGGTAACTTTGTTTTACTCACACGTGCCAAAATACGGGATCATCCGGAAAATACGGTATTACCGACAAACGACACCTGCTGTCATAATATGAACACAAATTATTGCAACTCGCATTATGCTTAACTGCCAAACTGCTTAGTGACGTACTGTCACATGCGGACTATAATATCCACTATCGTTGTCATCTTCGTTGTCGATGCGCAGTGATCATTGTATTGCATTATATTTGTAATCAGTGAATATATTGAAGCATATGAATGGCTAAGACACATCAATTCGCCAATTATTGATCAAAATTAATAATTATTGTGACATAAATGTTCGACAAATAAATGGCAGATTTATAGCAAATTAAAGGTACTGACAGAAACTTACCATGTTTACATATAGTTATATCAAGAACAAGGCAAAGAATGTTAACTTAAACACCAAACATAATACGTGTGTCTTTAATAAAAGATGCAATTAAATTTTTTTATAGCATATTAAAATTATGTGAGCTTGATGGTTTTAGTAACGGAACACATAAAGGTTGCAAATTTACATGAAAGTGCATTCAGTAATCACAAGGCATGATTGAATCAGCAAAACGCAGGTTTTTATTGTCATAAAGAAGTATAGAAAGCAAGCATTATGTAAGTCCCGGATATCATAAAGCAAGATGAAATAAATGCACTAATCTCTGTCCATAGAAAGGTTCACCTTTTGGGTAGTTATCTCAAGAACAGACCTCATCAAACTTGAGTGTTACAATTACACATTTTTTAATTCCGTTTTTATTTCTAGAGGATTCTAAACTTTGATTGTGAATATTTAGTTCTCCCATGCTGGGAATGTCCATGCTAGGTCAAAGTCATCAATTGATAATGGAAATCTTTAAAGAAAAAAAAAAAAATTTAAAAAATGGCTTATTTAATTTCCCGGGAAGAATAACATTTTTTAACACTTGTATAATTTAGCTGCCATAAAGGGAAAACAAATACCGTTTAGATTTAAGGTTTTAAAGTTTAGTTTTTTCCTCTTTATTCGAAATTTTTTTTCTTAATCCTAATAAGAAAATTTTCTTCTTTTTACCTCATTTGAAGTTCCATTTGGTTTTTAAATTTTTGTTTACTCTCCTTGTAGTATTATGTATTTCTTATTATTTCTTTTTCTTTGACCTTTACTGTGTTGATACGACGGACAAAACAACAAATAATGCTCGTATAGGTCACTTCTAAAATAATATTATGATCTATATCCTGTACAAGTTAATTACATGGGGATTAAATTACTGTAGGAGATGCTGAACTTATAATAAATACAATCAATTGTTTAAGCAGCACATACTCATTTTCATGTAAATTAAAGCAGATTCATGTCTTTCAAATATTTACGTTTACTTAACATAATTTATTGACAGGAATTGGAGTGATGTCATAAAATATGGAACATGCTGTAAGCGTTATGAGTAAAAGAACTTGCTAAATTCTTATAAAGGAAAAAATGTAGCCAAAAATCAAAGGAGGGCTGGATATAGCCGTTATAAATGAAAGGGTCCTGTGGCCGTTAAAAGAGAAATAACATGCCAATACTGTTAGAAGTTAAAAGAAATGCTTTAGTCGGAATACATGAAAAGAACATGCTTAAAAAGTCATTCATAAAAAACCTATATAGAAATAGTAAATGGAAAAGACCGTTACAGAAAGAAAGAAAAATAATGCTTGATTGAAATGAAAGGATCATTTTACAATTTTATCTAATTTTTGTCATTTAGTTAGTTGAACCTGCAATTACTTTTTTTAATTATATCGAAGTAAATCGTTCGTTGTATTTTTAAATATTTTCATTTATGCAAAAGAAATTGTCAGAACATTGTTAAACAGTTCATTTACAGCGTAGTTGTATATATACACAATATTTAAATGTTATCTTATTTGATACTATTTTCCAGAATAAAATTTTTTTTAATTTCTTCCATTTCATTCTTGGTGTTGTTCGTTTAGAATTTGTAATCTGGTAACTGATTGGGGAATAAAATTACACTTAATGAGTAAAATTTTTTGAACAATTAAGTTCATCGTTCATTTGTAATAGGTTAAATAGTTGCTTTCCCATATTATAGTCACAGTTTTTCTATTCTAGTCAAACAGGAAAAATAGCCCATGTTTTACATTTCGAATCTATGATCTTTTTATTTATATTACAAATGAAAAGTTTCGCAACATGATTTTTTTCTAACTATTGTTCATCAATATAAAGTCTTATTTTTTTACATTTTTAGGGGTTATCTTTCAACATGTTTGCATGATACAATGACTGATGCAGCATCATAACTTCTATTTACGTATATTTACTATTATTTCATAAAACACGTATTTATGTTTATTTCATAAAAACATGTATTTATGTTATGCTTTTGAATTGATGAATGTTTTATAAATAAAAAGGAAAAATAACTGAAAATTTCATAGTTAAAATTATCAAAATATGATATCACACTTTCCTATAAAATCATTTATGCCGATTGCTAAATAAAGATTGATTGATTGATTGATTGATTGATTGATTGATTGATTGTGAAAAGACCTTTTTATTTTTTCCCATATTTTTGCTTACAAATAACATAATTATAAATTCAGACATTATTCAGACCTATTTTGCTACACAGCAAAACAACCCAGAAATTGAATTGTGTAAACCATCGTTATCAAGAAGTTCAATATTACAAGAACATACCTGAAGTTCAAATAAAGTTAAAATTTCAACTTGATCGCCAAATATCGTGTATATTGGTTGCTGCTGTCTTTTGTTGTTGTTGTTTGTTTGTTGTTGTTTTTTCTTTTTTGTCAAGGGATGTAAAATTTTATCTTGCACTAAAACAAGTACTATTAGTTAACTAGTCTAGTTGATTTTCCTATTTCTAAATAACAGATCTAATGTTTGAATTGAAACAATCGCCAAACACTTTTTACAATTTCATATCAACATGTTATTATATACTACGCAAACTTTAGAAGAATGAATAATTAGCGTGAGAAATGAATATGAAAGAACAGTTGTAAAGATATCAACACGGATGTATGCGTTGGAGATCTTCATCATGTCCGTATAAGGCTATAAGATCATTATAAACACTATCTTGAAATATGTAAACGGTGGCTTGGTGGGCGTTACTGCAGATGGAATAATATGTTCGAACTTAATACATAGAAGAAAAAATGTCTTATATAAAATAAAAATTTTGGTTTGCTACAAAAGAATTTAATCAATGAAGAAATGAATTTAAAGATAATATATTTCTTTGTAGTCCTCAATGTTTGTGCCGCTTACGCAACCACCGCTGAAAAAGGTTTGTTTATATTTGTTGACACTGTTTCTAATATTTTTATTATCTCTTTTGCTTTACTTCTTTAGCTTAAGTTACAATTATAATAATAATAATAATAATAATAATAATAATAATAATAATAATAATAATAATAATAATAATTATAATAATAACAATAATAATAATAATAATAATAATAGACTATTTTTGTGCATTGGCTTAATGTTATATATGATTTTATTACGCTATTGTTGGGTTTTTATTGTTTTTTTTTTTGGTTTTTTTTTTGTTGTTTTTTTTTCAAGAAATTGTAAACAATTTACAAAATACTGATAACTTTAGGTGTTTAGGTGAAATGTACATCTGTTAAAGTAGGCATGAATAAGAAATTATGTAAAATCTAAATAAATACATAGAGTAGATATAGTTAAATATAGCTAGATTGATTTTAAGTACATTTTTCAATCACAAGTAAATGTACGAAAACAGTATATAAAGTTGATTCAAATAAATTAAAACAAACTGTAACATATCATGATACATATACATGTATATGTGATATTCATCTTTTATAGATCAGATACCGATTGAAAATTCTACAACTACAATGTGGAATGATAAAGATTGTGATGGAAACTCATCCGGTAAATGTCAGGCCTGCCCAGACGGCTATTTTGGTAACAAGTGTGAAATTAGCTGTACTAACAAATGCCTTAAATGCTTTGCTTCAACCTTCAATACAAGCAAGCCAGAATGCACATTGTGTGAGGAAGGATATTTTCTTTTCATGAACAGTTGTGTACAGTGTTCGAAAGAATGTAGATCATGTAATAATTTTGATAGTTGCATAAAATGTAAACCAGGATTTTATGGTCCGGTTTGTACTAAGTGTCATGATAGTTGCTTGGAATGTACTTCTAAAGACAGTTGTACAAAATGTAAACCAAACTTTTATGCGGTCAATAACTGCCGATGTAGTAAGAATTGTGCACTGGTTAAGGACACGAACTCTTTATGTTATGCCAACGGTACGTGTACACGCGGCTGTGTTGACGGGAAAATGGGAGAAAAGTGTTCTTTAGATTGTCCAGGTAAAGACAAGTGTTTGGCATGTGATCGAAAGGACGGTCGTTGTACAAAATGTGTGGCTGGGTTTTATAATACACTAAAATTCTGCAGTGATAAGTGCGGTCGATGTGTTCCTGACAGTAATGGAAACACTACGTGTAGTAATAATACAAATGGTTATTGTTACGGGGAATGTTCGGACGGATACTTTGGTAAAAAATGTGATGAGAACTGCAGTAAAAATTGTCGACGAAATAACGAAGATATACCAACATGCTATCAAAAGACAGGGAATTGTATGAATTGTCCACCAGGTTATTACGGGAGCTTTTGTCAATATAAGTGCAACGAAAATTGTATTGAGTCAGATGACGGCATAAACATTTGTAACGAAAACATGGGCGAATGCCAAAGCTGTAAAAGAGGATATTTTGGAACATTTTGCACATATAATTGCTCTGATAACTGTTTCGACACCTGTGATATCGTAACAGGTAAATGTCATCAATGCGAAGAGAACTTTTATGGCCATTTCTGTGAGAAAAGGTGCTTTCAAAACTGTGACACGTGTGATCAGTATACAGGTGTCTGTAATATTTGTAAGAGTAACTTTTACGGGGAAAGCTGCAACTTAACATGCCCAGGGAACTGCTCAGCAGAAAAATACAAAATGACAAACAAAACAGTATGCCAGAGGGAGACGGGCGAATGTTTAACTTGTAAAACTGGCTTTTATGGGAAAACATGCGACAAAAAGTGTCCAAAAAATTGTGCGAAATATTTTTCAGAAATAACCAGTCCAAAATGTATTAAATCAAATGGGCGATGTATAAATTGTGAAATCGGTTATTATGGAATGTTCTGTGAACGAAAATGTAGGAAAACGTGTCAACAATTAAATAATTCCGGAAAAAGGCCGTGTGTTCAAACCACCGGAAGGTGTAGCCTTGGTTGCATCAATGGATGGCACGGAGGAATGTGTCGACTCATTTGTAACGCTACATGCGAAAATCGTGCATGCGATTTATTGACTGGACAATGTTCAAAAGGATGCATCATTGGTTACGAGGGATACTTCTGTGAAAAAAGTAGGTATGAGAGGGATACTGCAGTAGAATTATGATTTTCAACGTAAGTCACATTTACTTACATGAAATATTTCAAGGAGACTGTGTAAGATCTGTTTCAATAAAATACTCCCAAGTAGTAACTGTCCGCGTCGTAAAAATGTCTAAAAATGCTTTATTTTGACTTTGATTTTTCTAGGCTTTACCTTACCCATGTCATAGTTATACATGTATACTTTAAATCATGCAGGACTTGTTTTCAGAGCAGATTTTCTTCGAACCAAACCTAACAGAGGACGCTCTTACGGTCAATGAAGGTACTGTTATTACAGATATCAACTGCAGGTCAAGATGTAATCCTGTTTGTTCCATTCAATGGACTCGAGAACAGGATGGATTAAGTGTCAGCAAGAATGGTACACTTCAGTTAGGCACGGTATCCCGAGAAACAACAGGTGTTTATACGTGTATGGTGATAGATTCATGGTTAGCTAAAACTTTCCACAAAAGCATATCTGTCTATATTAAATGTAAGTCGAACCCTTATCATTATCATGTACATGTATATGCCGATATGCTACTTTTCATACCTTATGTGACTTTTAGGGTATATACAGCCATGTTGGCATACTTATTATGATTATGGCCAATTATGCCTTAGAACTGATTTTAATTTTATTTCTCAGTCTTTTATATTTAGTGGCCTGTTACAACTTCATTGTGCCATTATCTTAACCATCTTTCGCTTCTGTTGCTTTTCGGTAATCAGTAATGTTATAGTTGTTTAGTTTTCTGTATGGAAGTCAAAATACTACTTTGTTAACATTTGCTACTTTTATAAGAAAAAATTAATCTACATTCAGAGCGACTTTTTTCAGGCGACATGCATGTGACATGCTCTAAAACCAATATTTAAACTTTAAAGACTTCAGAGAAGGAAAACTTTATTCGTTTCTGAAGTATAATTACCTAACATAAATTATAACTGGTTCTTAAATGTCACTTATTAAGTATAACTTGTTCTCTTTTCTAAAGACGGACCAGACCATCTTCACATAATTCCTCATGAAAACTATTTGACAATTACGAGAGGCGAGCAAGCTCCTTTAGTAAAATGTATGGCCGAATGCTACCCGCCGTGTAAGTTCCAGTGGACAAAGAAAAATGACAGTTCGGTGTGGATTGTAAACGATACCCTTCAGCTTGGCGTTGTTACATGGCAACACAGTGGGATATATACGTGCACAGTAACTAACACAGATAAAGAATATCCAAAGTCGTATAGTTTGAGTCTTGAAATAGAAGTAACAGGTAAGATTTGTTTGGAATAATGTTAAAAGCAAGATTGCATTAGAATACTAGACGTATTAATTACTCTTAATGAAAATAGTGACTTATTTGTACAATTTCGTACGAGCCGGTAAAAGAAAGATCCAACACATAGTAAATGAAGGTCCTTGAGTCAAGTAATCATTATTGCAGTGTCTTCGATATTTTGCCTTTTGCTTCGAAAACACTCATACGAAAAATTCAACTACCTATATTATCATTTAATATTGAAGTAGAATGGAATCATTCTTTAAATAGTGCAGCTTCTCATATATAAAATAATATCCATATTGGACAAAAAATAACAGATTCACAGTTTGTTTATTTATTAATGGGTTATGGGGAATGGTACATTTGCAGAAGCCTTTTCAATATTTTGATTATGTAGAATTGCTTTGGCCTTGATAAACGTCAAGCATAGTAAGGTTATTTCCACATTCGAGCATAGCTCATAAGTCCCCCCCCCCCCCCCCCCCCAGTCTTTTGTGAATAGGTCCGAGGTCATTTGAATTATGAATATAGTGCAGAATTATTTGTAAATATAGTCCTATATCATGTTAATATTTACCTACTAAAATAGGAAAGAATTAACTGATTATTAAAAATGCCTTGATTAATGATAAGACACCTAATTAAGAGCACTGTTGCTTTTTCTCATGTTTATAAGTCATTTACAATGTTGTAAAATGTCTACAATTTTTGAATTGTGAATTTCTTTTAAATAATAGTGAAAGAAGATACTGTTTTGGCTTTGTGCATTGGGCACTATTTCGGCACCAAAACTACGCGAAATAGAAACACTGGTCCTGCGTTATAATATTCCTGAATTTTCATTTCACTATTTATTTAAGTTTAAACATGTTAAAACTCATCATTAAAATCAGTCCTACTGATGCTTAATTTCGGGATGGGGTTGGGGGATAGGCATCTTTTTAATGTTGCATTCAAACTGTCCAAATAAAAAAATAAATGATAAATATTCAAATTATACCGAACCATACATTTCATCCTTCTTTTCAATGTACATGTTGTTATTGCTCTTTCAATAATCATGTTTTATGTTTAATATGTTCTAGTTATATATGTTTTCAGTTGACGTTTTCTGTTATCTTTTACAAAATAAAAATCAGATTGTTAGTAACCCTATTGCTAAAATGTCTTTGTTGATTTTTTTAAGGAAATGAAGGACACAAATCAAACAGCTTACGTATGTTGGTGTTAGTTATTGGTGCTTGTGCGGTAGCAGCAGCTGTTGTCATCGTAACAGTTCTTGGTGTAGCTCTGACATTGAAACGCACAACTAATAGAGGTTATTTTATGTTTTTCCAACTTCTCAGTTCTATCACACAATGACATGGTATCCAACCGTCAAAATATAAATGGCAATAGCTTTATAAGGGTTTGAAATATCAATGCCGGAAGTAGGTCGAAGAAATACCGAGTAACACGAGTAACGGTGATCGAACTGAAAATCTTATTATTTAAACACTAACCTGGTCTTTTTAGCCTTGCACAATAAAGCTATTGTGTAAGTATATAAATATCCGTAATTTCATTACTGCGTTATAAGATATATTCACCTATGAAGTTTCAAGTTTATATCTGTATATATACATGTATATATACTTTTGAAGGTGCGCTCCGAACATATAATTAAGCATAAAACAGCAAAGGAAATAACTAAAAATAAATATGAAAGGACGAGTTATCATATGTACTTCTCTCCTCTAAATGAGATCTATCCATCTATGAAGTTTCCAGCCGATACCTCAAATTCCTTTCGATGTCTGGACAATATTGAGAAATTAAATGAAACCATCACTATAAGCGATAAATACACCCCCTCCCCCGCAAATAGCTTTTATTCCTAAATCAAGAACCATTGCAAAGAGAGGTTAGCCTGGTTAAATGCAATAACACTGAAAGAGGCCTTTATGAGTATAGACCTGTAAATGGTCGGTCACTTTTGAATAACAATATTTGACAGTTTGGTCCTCAATTCTGTTTCTTGAAATATGATTACGAAACATCCATTTATAACAAAGCTATAGCCAATTAGTCAATTTCAGTAAAAGTTAAAAGAGAAGCGCTCACAGACGTCTAGACAACCATACGGCCATACTAACGGGCAACGTTAAACCATTAACAACCCCTCCCATACATCTTTTGTTATGCGGGGGGGGGGCGGTATAAAATAACAAATGGCAATAACTCCAAACTTATGAAGATTAGTGTTGTCACCCTTAATGCAATTCGTCTACCTATAGATGAAGTTACAAGATGGTATCTGTCACGCTCCGTACGAAAATGTAGGCCGCAAGGACATACTGAAGGACGGACAAAGACTGTTACTATTTGCCAGGGGATAATAAAACATAGATCTATATATATATTTTATAGGACGTTTTATATTTCAAACTGTTTATTTTTACAGATCAAGAGAGCTACGACTTAGGCGAGTATCCTTTAAGACTTCAAGACAGGCAAATTTACTTTTATATACCTTAGCATTCATTTTCTGAATCTCTAATAATTAAATAATTAGTAGTTCATCGTTTTTTTTAATTATAAACAACTTTTCGTTTAAGATCGCTCTTTATTAAACAAAACTGTCGTATTTTTGTGATTTTTGTTCGATATATCGTCGCGGATGAGCAGTGTTCATAAATTAGACGTTAGTTGATTTTGTTACGTATATGTTTATACAGTACTTTTTTAAAGGTCAGCTCAACCGTTTGTTATCATCTCTTTTCAGGGGTTCTGTGACATCAGACATGTCGGAAGAACACTTTTACCAAAACTTGAACTTACATGTATATTAAAGAAACAAACAAGAAATCTAAATCTATAACCAACTTGAGCTATAAGAGACTTCATTTTCACACTCACTTTCAATAACATAATGTTTAATTTCTGATAATGGCTACTGAATAGCCATCAATAAATATACTAGAACCTAGCTCACTTTGTTTCGTGTGTTTCACATCCTTTATTATTTTTATCAATTTGTTTATTTTGCATATCTAATCATACCGTTTTACGAAAGTTATTGTAATCAGGTTCGACCTGATTTAAAGCTGGGACTAAAAATGTAACTGTATCTTTCTGTCCCAGTTTAAAGTGAGAAACGGACAATATTTTAGATTTTCTAGGAAATCATATGCGCACACAAATGTATTGTATGTATGTATGCACCTACGTACATACATACATGCATACAAATAACATACATACAGGTGTGTGCGCATATTTCTAGAAAATGCAAGGGAAGGAAGTAGAGTAAAATGCATTTAATTAAAGCTTGTAAGAGTAGTGTATCCTGTTCTTTTGCATCTGTACTTTGTTTACTATGTTGACAAATTTATTGTTGACGAGTGCCAATAAATTACACCATTCGTAAAGCATAAAATTGAAACACCATTAATAAAGCATAAAATTGGAACACCATTCATAAAGAATAAAATTGGAACACCATTCATAAAGCATAAAATTGGAACACCATTCATAAAGTATAAAATTGAAACACCATTCATAAAGTATAAAATTGGAACACCATTCATAAAGTATAAAATTGGAACACCATTAATAAAGCATAAAATTGAAACACCATTAATAAAGCATAAAATTGGAACACCATTCATAAAGCATAAAATTGGAACACCATTCATAAAGCATAAAATTGGAACACCATTCATAAAGTATAAAATTGAAACACCATTAATAAAGCATAAAATTGGAACACCATTCATAAAGTATAAAATTGGAACACCATTCATAAAGTTTAAAATTGGAACATAGAGAAGTATTTAGAAATTTAAAACAAGATTGCATTTGAGAAAATGCTATGCCACCACATTAATACAACACTAAGTAGAAGTGTAGGAACAAATACTGTTGAAGAACGGGTCTTTTATTAACCTTGTATATTATTGTCTGGATGAGCCGGTACCAATGCAAAACCAACGTATTACTATAAACTGCTAGCATTCCCTTGCAGAAAGATAAGCAGACGACAGCCTAAATTTCATGACTACATCAAAGGACAACACAGTAAGACACTTTGTCAAAATCTAGGTCAGCTGATATCAAAGTTCACTTTACATCTTAATCTGTGCACATGGTTCAAATTTCATAGCTGTACATCAAAGGACAAGAAAGTAGGTCACATAATCAAAATCTAGGTCACTTGATATAAAAGTTCAATTTTACAACTAAAACTGTGCACATGGTCAAAATTTCATTGCTGTACATCAAAGGACAAGAAAGTAGGTCACTGTCCCTGTGGGCAAGGCAAAATTTTGACCCAAGGATTTAATTCAAAACAATCTTGATACAGGTCCACTAAACAACATTTCAAGTCAAATATCTAAGCTGTAGCTTTCTCCCATTCAGAAAACATTTGTTTTATTTTCTGTTTTTATTATGTGTTCTTAATGAAAATCACTGCCCCCAGGCAGGGCCGATTTTGACACCAGGGGAAAAATTTGAACAACTTTGGTAGAGGACCTACAGATGATATTATATAGCAAACATCAAAGCTCTATGCCTTGTACCTTCAGACAAAAATAGCTTTTATTTCATTTTTTTTTTACTATATGTACATTATGAAAATCAAGGGAACCCGGGGCGGACCCAATTTTGACCCCAGGGCTATAATTTGAACAATCTTAGTAGAGGTTCACTTCCCAAAGTCTCATGCCATAAATTTAACCTCTAGCCTTTGTCAATTCAGAGAAGAAGGTTTTTCAAGTTTTTACTTTATACATATAAGGAAAACTATCGCCTCTAGGGCAGGGCAATTTTTTCACTAGGGGCATAATTAAAACAACTTTAGTAGAGGACCCATAGATGATATTATATACCAAATATCAAAGCTCTAAGCCTTGTACCTTCAGACAAGAAGATTTTTTAATTTTTTACTATATGTACATAGTGAAAATCAACGACCCCTGGGGGTGGGGCCAATTTTGACCCCAGGATATATTTACAGGATTTTCAAGCTTTTGAGTAGGGGCGGATACAGAACATGGTTTCCTGGGGGGGGGGGGGGGCTGTCATATGGGTGGAAGATTTTGACAAAAATAATGCAACAGGCAAAATTGTGCATGTTTGAAAATAGGGCCAATATCTTGTTCATGTGACAAAAATTGTAATTTATGTGTTTTATAGCTCATCTTATGAGTGGCAATGTCCTTTCGCTTATATATGTGTATACTAATATTTTCGCAAATATTTAGATGATATGGAATTAAGGAAAATATATGTAATTGGGGTGGGCCTGGGAGGGGTGTCCCCTCCCATAGACTGAGAAAATTTTGAAATATGAGGTTGAAATTGGTGTTATTTCCTTGACTTTCTAGTGTTGTTCATGACACCTTTTGGATGGTTTTACAGGTAAGTGTTTGCAGGGTATTTCAAATAGAATTCCCCTGGTGTTTAGTACGTATTATGCATTTACAAAACAACAGCACACTAACCAATGTTTGCGCGACTGTTGATAAAAATAATTTTTAAACACTTTATCAATGTACTCCTCTGAATAATAGACGTTTTTCCAAAGTAAAGTGATATTAAAGTACTGTCTTTCAATTGTAAAAAAAATCAAACAAATATATTCAATAAGAATTTTTTCCATCAATAAATCCATTTTAGATACTAAAGAGGTCAGTACAATTTAAATTTTATTTAAAAAAAATATAACTGCAATTAAAAAGTTATTAAAAGCAAAATTTATAACCAATCAGTTCATCTGAAAAAAAATCTTAGAAAAACTTATTATTTAAAACGCAATTCATTTAGTATAATCTTGATAAAACTTGTCACCCTTTTAATTTACAAATAATAGTTTTCAATTTCTTAATAATAGGGCTTTCGCAAAAACAAAGATAGTAAAATATGGTGTGCAATATAACACATCTACAGTGTATTTGCCACTATCTGTGACTATTAATTTCATAAGACCTTTGGAAAGTAATAAAACCAATCAATTATGCAGTTTAAACATTGAAGTCATTCAAGCAAGTTGATAGATAAAGATCTCTGCCAAGCCCCCAGGCAGGAGATTAACAACTGGATGACAGCAATTAATGTTTTGATAAGGGAGTACACTACAGCAACTGATAAAAATATTTTCCAGCCAAGCTGGTAAACGTATCTTTGGGCCAAGCTGGGTGGGCTGCAGCCCTGAAGCCCGGGCCTGAATCCGCCACTGTGACAGACATCTACACCATCTACAATATCACTTATAACAAATCGGAACAAAATTTTGAACAACTCTTTTCTAGGAGTGATATAGTATGAAAATTTATTAAGTCAATAAATCAGTGATGTCTTTCAACAAATAGGAAGGTTTCTAAAGAATATAATGTTATAAGACTCGAAAAAAAATTTTTACAACGTCTGTTTTATAGAAATTTAGATTGCTTTAAAAAAAACAAGATTGCATTTGAGAAAAATGCTATGCCACCGCATGGTTCAAATTTCATAGCTGTACATCAAAGGACAAGAAAGTAGGTCACATCATCAAAATCTAGGTCAAAGTTCAATTTAACAACTAAAACTGTGCACATGGTCAAAATGTCATTGCTGTACATCAAAGGACAAGAAAGTAGGTCACTGTCCCCTTGGGCAAGGCATAATTTTGACCCCAAGGGTTTAATAACAATCTTGATACAGGTCCACCAAACAACATTTCAAATCAAATATCAAAGCTATAGCTTTCTCCCATTCAGAAAACATTTGTTTTATTTTCTGGTTTTACTACGTGTACACAATGAGAATCACTGCCCCCGGGCAGGGCCAATTTTTGACATTTAAACAACTTTGGTAGAGGACCTATAGATGATATTATATATCAAACATTTAAGCTCTATGCCTTGAACCTTCAGACAAAAATTTTTTTTTTTCACTATATGTACATAATGAAAATCAATGACCCCCGGGGCTGAATCAATTTTGACCCCAGGGCTATAATTTGGACAATCTTGCTAGAGGTTCACTACACAATGTTTCATGCAAAATATCTTATCTCTATCCTTTGTAAATTTAGAGAAGATGATTTTTTAAGTTTTAACTATATACATATAAGATAAACCTATGGCTCCCAGGGGCGGGGCTAATTTTGACACAAGAGGCAAAATTTGAACAACTTTGGTAGAGTACCTTTAGATGATGTTATTTAACAAATATTAAAGCTCTAAGCCTTGTACCTTCAGACAATAAGATTTTTTTATTTTTTACTATATGTATATATTGAAATCAATGACCCCAGGGCGGGGGCAATTTTGACCCCAGGGCTATAATTTGAACAATCTTGCTAGAGGTTTACAACACAATGTTTCATGCAAAATATCTAACCTCTAGCATTTGTCAATTGCTAGAAGATTTTTTTTTTAAGTTTTTACTATATACATATAAGGAAAACCAATGACCCCCTGGGTGGGGCCGATTTTGACCCCAGGGCTATAATTTGAACAATCTGGGTAGAGGTCTACCAGACAATGCCTTATGCAAAATATCTAAGCTCTAGGCCTTTTGGGTCTTTACAAGAAGGTGTTTTAAGTTTTTACTATATGTACATATAGCGAAAATCAATGACCCCGGGGCGGGTCCGATTTTGACCCAAGGGCTATAATTTGAACAATCTTGGTAAGGGTCTACCAGATGATGCCTTATGCAAAATATTTAAGCTCTAGGCCATTTGGGTTTAAAGTATTTTAGGTTTTTACTATCTGTACATAGTGAAAATCAATGACCCCCGGGGCGGGGCCAATTTTGACCCGAGGGCTATAATTTGAACAATCTTGTTAGAGGTCTACCAGACAATGCCTTATGCAAAATATCTAAGCTCTAGGCCTTTTGGGTCTTTACAAGAAGATTTTTAAAATTTATTCTTATAATTCCTTTTGGTTGCCATGGCAACCGGATTTCTGCATGGAATGAAATTCTTTGAACAACTTTGGAAGCCCTTCACCCAAGGAACAATCCTGCCAAGTTTGGTTGAAATTGGACTAGTGGTTTTTCACAAGAAGATTTTTTAAGTTCACTATATAATCTATATAACACACACACAAACACACACACAAACACACACACACACAGGTGAATCGCTATATGCCACCGCATCGCAGATGCTGCGGTGGCATAATTAGTTTGCAGGGTACAAATTAAGTCAAAAGAACAACTTCAAAATGCTTTTATTCATGGTAACAGATATTCTACCAACAACGTTAATTATAGAGATTCATTAAAATGTCACCACTTTCCATTCATCCTTTTTTAAACAGTCTATGCTTAATATCCTCTGTAAAAGTCAATAATACCTTATTGACCTTTATTCTGTTGGATCATATAATTTATATTAGCAGCCCAATACTGGCCACAGTCAAAGATCTGTTTGAAGTTCTTGTCCAGTTAATGAATGGGACCATTAATTGTTTTGCATTTTAAGAATGAAAACAGAGAATGATCTACTCTTACACAGATATTCTTCAGTTGTGTGATATCACCATATTTGTTGTGAATCCCTACAATGATCCAGACTGTTCACTACTATCAACTAATCCATTACTATTCTCTTTATCCTCCTGTCCATCATCTCCACTCATTACACTATCTTCTATAAGCATACTGACTCCTGATTGGCTAGTGTCCTGAGAGCTACAAGCTGATTGGCTTATGTCATTATTACTGGCAGCTGATTGGTCGATTTCACTTTGAGAAGTGATGTCACCCCCATCCACTTCATCCTCATCATCTTCATCATCATCTGCATCCATGAGAAAAATACGAACTCTTCGTCGAGATGAAAATAACTGAAACAGAATACCACAACAGTGTTTTCATGATAATCACATTATTTTCAATTTGGGATAGAAATAAAAAGGCACTTATTTGTATACAAATGAATTCATAACATTGAAGAAGCTAAAAAAAATTCTTTTGCATGAAATTACATGAAACATCTGCTACAACACTGATGTTTTTTTTTCTTTTTTTAAATTTGTTAAACATTTCTTACAACACCACATGGTTATAAAGTCAATTTTCCTTAGATAACCATAATGCTTTTATATCTGTGTTATTCAGCTGCTGCAAATTTGTGAATTATTTGAATTTATGTAAGCAGCTGGTAAAATTGGTTATGAAGACTATTGACAGTTTATATGACCAAGTATAGACAGTTCACAGCAATATAACCCATACTTATTGGCTTTGGTCATATATGCCTACAAATGTACTTTTGGGTCATATAACCTGTAAAGTTCATTGAGTGTTGGTGGCCAAACGTAACATTTCAGACTAGTTATCTAAGGATTGTTGGCCCCCTAGGTTCAAACCCTGTCAGGGGCAAGCTGTTGTTTCTGTGAGCAAGAAACTTTACACTCATTGCTAAGTACTGGTTGGTTTCAGAAACGGATTCAAGTGTGTTTCAATAAGCTTATAGATTCCAACTAAAAATAAATTAGTATAAAATAAAACTAAAATTCTTATAACTTAACAATATTAATGTATTGTATTATACAAAATATAGTTACTGTTGTCAAATATTTGAAAAACTGCAATTAAAAAGTGATTCAGATTAATTTTTAAGACCTCAATATTTTCTTAACTTAATATCTTTGCTCTTAACACTCCTAATTTTAGTCAATACATATACTGATGTCAATATATAAACATACAACAGTTGCAGCATGTCTTGTTCCACTAACAGCAAATGAATGAGCTTTCATATTCTGTAGCCAGCGATATTGTAAACTGTCTGTCTGTCCTGTAACTTCTATAACAGGTCTGTAATTTGGGAAAAAGCATTTATACAATAAATCATCATCAACATTAGATCTTTTTTATAATCTTAAATTCCTGAAATTCAATTTTAGAGTGAAATACCACACAGCAATTATGGTGTATAAATCTTTAAACAATCTAGTACTGTTATATATGAGTGAAATTTTTAGTTTCTCTCACAACAAATTACATAATTTACGCTCAATCGCTCATAAGGATCTTGTTCTGAAAAGTAAACCTCAAACTAATTATTTAAAGGATTCTTTTTCTTATTTCAGTATTGACGTTTGGAATAAATTACCCATTACTATCAAACAATGTTCGACTTAACAATCTTTCAAAAACAACTGTAAAATTTATTTTTTTAAGTTTACAGTTAGATACATGATGAAAATTGACCACTTTATATTTTAATAGTTGTAAATAATGATATCATCCTTTATTTCTCCTTTTTTTATAAATCATTACAAGTTTACATCTATAATAACTATAATAAATATGAGTGTCAGTCGGATAAATGAATGAAAATATCTAACTTTTACATTTCAGAATATAGAAAAAGATTTTTTTGTTTATACAAAAAGATTTAAATTTTGTATAAATCTACATTGTTTTTTCTTTGTTATTGTTAAAACAGAAGGTCATACTGAAAGTAAGTATACTTTCTTACAGTGTAAACTTTGTATGATACCTTCTATAAATCAAGATTTTATTATTATTATTATTATTACAAGATCATTCAGAAGATTGTCCTTTATTAAAACACCAACATACATTTTATATTGACCTTTACAATGCAAAATATTTTACAAAGACGTGTGTGATATTTCAACCCATTCCTTTTAGTAGTTTTGGAGGAACCAACTTGCAGGAAAAACTTGAAGTGTGACACTGACAATGGGGTATCCAGTAAGTATGATACCACTCCCTATCCTTTGATTAGTCTAGCATAAAATGTCTAAAAGTTAAGACATATTCTATATTAACTTACATGTCTGATCGAGTATTGACTCCAGCAATTCCTGACACTGATATAAAATATTCATCAGTGAGAAGTTCTAGAGGAAACTGCATCAAGACGGGAACATAATCCATTGTCTCCTCTGTCAGCAACACTGATAGTTGTTTATCATCGTAACATGCTACATCCAACACACTAAGGTTCCCACTACTGCAACAAACAGACAAGATGTTCTTTAAATAACAATTCTTACACAATTTTCACATTATTAAGGTCAAATAATGTGATCCAGATTTATGTTTACAATTAGAACTCAAGTGCCCCTTTCTTTACAGCAAGAACAAACATCTCAAGAGGAGCCTTCAGCCTTCTGTTAGTTAGCTGAACACACTTGATACTCTGCACTGTTGAGATATTGTAAATTACTCTTGGATGGGCATTACGTCTTTTTAAATAGACTTGTCTAGGCAATATTTTCAGAAAAGTTCATTATCAACTTTGGGGATATCATATTGGAAAATGAAAAGTTAGTTAACCAACAACATAGAGCCTCATCAAGCTGCTCATGCGGGACACTCACGTGGCTTTATACTGGTGGCAAAGACTGTTGATTTTCAGCCCAAACATCTTAAGGCTAAATGCTGATAATGCAATCAAAACCTTGCCACTTGTCTAAATCAAAATGAAACTTTTAATGTAAATATATGTTACCTGGACTGTACAGAATCAGCGCTGGCACTACTACTGTTTGGATCTGGTCTAGACAAAGATGAAAACTTTACAGATGTTAATCTCATATTTTCTGACACACTGGAAATAAAAAAACATGCTAAGTATACTTGCAAGACACCTGTTTTAGACATATATGTATGCCAATTTGATATGGTATGATACAATTTGATACAATACAATTTAATATAATATAATACTATACAATTATTGACTAGTGAGACATTGAATATGATATGGTATTCACCAGTAAATATCATATTTTTATATGACATATGCCGATGAATATCAAATCATATTCAATGAATCATTCGTCAATAACTGTTTTTATTATTATATGACCAGTCTACGGTAAAATATACAATTAAAGAGTAAAACAAACCTGTAACTGTTTGTAGGTTGAGTAAGAATATATAATTTATCACAAGGTAAATATTCTGCTGTAAAAGCTGTATATAACATTGATGGCTGACCAGCAGTGAACCTGAAATATTAAATGTATATATTTATTTATTGTTATCTCATATACATGTTTGTATTTTGTTGTGATTAGTCATGAAATTCTTTCTATGGTTATTCCCACTGTACCTCTGCTCTGGCATGTACAGAAGTTATCAGTTCCTAGCCATAGTAAAAGCAACTAGTACTGGTAAATTGTTTGATAGCCTGCCCAGGAACAATGTTGTGGCTGAACTGTGATCTGGTAAATTCAATGTGCCTTACTGTCATGATACCATGGGTAAATTACCACCACCGCCACCCTCACTATTGTTCTTATGAATGACCACCAACATCAAATTAAAAATTTAAAAAATATCAACATCTTCATACTTACTTACACAGAATTTAAAAACAAAATATCATATCAAGAAACTTACTGAGCAACTCTTGGAACAAAACTTTTTCCATTTTCCCTGAAAAATAGAATGCTAAAGTACAGAATATTTCTTGTTGGTGTTGGGTATTTCATATGGAGATTTTTTTCCACATTTAACTTTTTTTATGGATTTTACAGAAAGAATTTTTACACTTATATTATACACAATTTAAATATTATACACAATTTAAACACTTTAACATGTTCACACTACTTGAAAGGGGGTGGTAGGGAAGTGTTTGGGGCCCAAAAAAATGTGTCAAGAACTAATTTGCAGTATATCTCTTCAAGAATCTGCTTATGATTTATAGTGGTATATAGGCGACTTAGATCTATAGAAATCTAAGCCAGTGCCCCCAATCATATCTATTCTATTCATACTGGCATTATCCCATCATTAACTTAAACCAAAATCAGCCAAAGACAAGAAATCTGAGGATTGCTTGATTGTGTGGGTTCAAACCCTATAAGGGGCAAAAAATTGTTTCTTTAAGCGAAAATTTATTACTCCAATTGCTTAGTACTGGTTGCTTCAAGGTGCAGATTTGAGAGTATGTCTATAAGCTCTTCGCTTCTTACACTATCAAACTGATATAAACAAAACATGTTTGTAAAACATGTATGCCCCCTATCAGCAGCCAATTAGTCATGTGGCCTGGTTATTGTGACTGACTTTTGACCAAGTGACCAAAAAGTCAATAGGGGTTATCTATTGGTCATGACTAGTCACTGGGCTATTGTGACCGTAAAGGTTGTGTGCAGCAATTTTATGACAAAGTTATCACAAATTTTACCAAATAATACATGTATATGCATAAATTTTATGAATCATGTTGGCCACTTTAATGACAATCCAATTTCTTACATTTCAATAGACTTGAAATGTGCATACTAAAAGCATTTTAGTTTAATAAAAAATATCAACCAAGGCAACTTGAGTTGTTGAGTTATTAGTCAGATACCTTTTTACATACAAGGTCAATGTGACTATGACCTTTGACTCTTAAATCAAAGGGGGTAATATACAGTCCAAGACCAATGCACCTGTGAAGTTTGAAGGTAAAGGGCCCATGAGTTGTTGAGATATTGATCAGGAACTGTTTTTAACTCTAAGGTCAATGTGATCTTGACCTCTGACCCCTTGACCCAAAAAAATCACGGAGGTTATCTTCTGACCAAAAACAATGCATTTGTGAAGTTTAAAGGTCAATGATCTATGGGCTGTAGAGTTATTAATAGGAAAATGTTTTGACATGCAAGGTCAATGTGACCTTAACCTTTGACCACTGGACCCCAAAATCATTGACATAATGACCCAAAAATCATTAGAGGTCATCTACTTTCCATGAAAGACCTCCCTACCAAGTATGAAGACTGCATACACAAAAGTTATCAAGATATTGAGAGGAAATCATTGTAGCTTACCGACAGACATGTCAGATGGACAAGCGCCATACTATAATATAACCAATGTTATCTTTGTGTACACTTACTTTGCCTGAACTGAGAACAAAAGCAATGTTGATACACACTGCAGACTCTGTCCTACTGTCACCTTTAATATAACAAGATAATATTATATTACATACTAGTAATTGCTTACATGTAGTTTTCACAAATCTGTTGTCTGTTTTGTTCAGTTTAATACCTTAAATCATCAGAAACAGTTAACTGCATCTTTCTCTACATTTCAAATTATGCATCAATAAAGATTGGTACTTGGTTTATATAACTCTTAAAAATATTTTTTGACATCAGCTTTATCAGAAGTTTGGAATATATCATTACTAACAGAAGGTAAATAAGTCATACATTTGATCTTAATGTTAAATGTGGGATACATATTTATATCACTATAACTTACCGCCGGATTATGAAGTGTGTGATATATATCATCATTATTCACTACAGGTTTACATAGTGTGTGATACATAATTTATCATCATTTCTCACACCAGGTTTATGTAGTGTGTGATATATATCATTATAACTTACAGCAGGTTTATGTATTTATGTAGTGTGTGATATATATATATATATATATGAAATATTTTATCCTGAAGTTTTAAAGAATATCCTTCTATTAAATAATCACAGAGGCCACACCTCTGTTCGTTGCATTTTTTAACACAGGGCATTATATAAGGATATTCTTTAAAACTTCAGGATAAAATATTTCATATAAAAGAAAATATGGACTGTACTGTTGAAAATGTTTTATATGTTTTAGTTTGCAACGGCTGCAAAGAATTTTACATAGGCCAAACAGGTGACAAACTCAGAAACAGAAAAACTGTTCATGCCCAGCAGATAAGAGACCCATCAACCAGACAATTACCTTTAAGTGAGCATTTAGATAAATGCTCTAAAAAAGACCCGAAATTTTGTATTTTCCCATTTTATAAATTTCACAGTAAAAACGTTTCAGCTAGGTTATCTAAAGAACGCTATTTTATTGATGTTTTTAATCCAAAACTTAATACTATATAAATGACGTTACTATTTTTAGATTATGCGTACACATGTGTACACAAAAACGTCGTCGTTACTATGCGACGACGTCACATTTGCCCTGATGATCATAAGAGAAACCGGTTGGGCAAATAATTAAATAAGTTAACTCATGGACTGTGTTTTTTGTTTTAATTTATATGTGACTTTTTTTCCGGCACTTGTTTTCATTTTTGTATATATATATATATATATATATATCATTATGACTTACAGCAGGTTTATGAAGTGTGTGATATATATCATTATAACTTACAGCAGGTTTATGTAGTGTGTGATATATATATCATTATGACTCACTGCAGGTTTATGTAGTGTGTCATATATATCATTATAACTTACAGCAGGTTTATGTAGTGTGTGATATATATATATCAATATGACTTAACACAGGTTTATGTAGTGTGTGATATATATCATTATACCTTACAGCAGGTTTATGTAGTGTGTGATATATATCATTATACCTTACAGCAAGTTTATGTAGTGTGTGATATATATATATATATATATATATTATATATATATATATATATATATATATATCATTATGACTTACCGCAGGTTTATGTAGTGTGTTGATATATATCATTATACCTTACACCAGGTTCATGTAGTGTGTGATATATATCATTATAACTTACAGCAGGTTTATGTAGTGTGTGATATATATATATATATATATATATATATATATATATATATATATATATATATATATCATTATGACTTACCGCAGGTTTATGTAGTGTGTGATATATATCATCATTATTCACTACAGGTTTACATAGTGTGTGATACATAATTTATCATCATTTCTCACACCAGGTTTATGTAGTGTGTGATATATATCATTATAACTTACAGCAGGTTTTATGTAGTGTGATATTTATATATATCATTATGACTTACCGCAGGTTTATGTAGTGTGTGATATATATCATTATAACCTACAGCAGGTTTTATGTAGTGTGTGATATATATCATTATACCTTACAGCAAGTTTATGTAGTGTGTGATATATATATATATATATATATAATATATATATATATATATATATATATATATATATCATTATGACTTACCGCAGGTTTATGTAGTGTGTGATATATATCATTATACCTTACACCAGGTTCATGTAGTGTGTGATATATATCATTATAACTTACAGCAGGTTTATGTAGTGTGTGATATATATATATATATATATATAATATATATATATATATATATATATATATATATATATATATATATATATATATATATATCATTATGACTTACCGCAGGTTTATGTAGTGTGTGATATATATCATCATTATTCACTACAGGTTTACATAGTGTGTGATACATAATTTATCATCATTTCTCACACCAGGTTTATGTAGTGTGTGATATATATCATTGTAACTTACAGCAGGTTTATGTAGTGTGATATTTATATATATCATTATGACTTACCGCAGGTTTATGTAGTGTGTGATATATATCATTATAACCTACAGCAGGTTTATGTAGTGTGTGATATATATCATTATACCTTACAGCAGGTTTATGTAATGTGTGATATATATCATTATACCTTACAGCAGGTTTATGTAGTGTGTGATATATATCATTATAACTTACAACAGGTTTATGTAGTGTGTGATATATATCATTATACCTTACAGCAGGTTTATGTAGTGTGTGATATATATCATTATACCTTACAGCAGGTTTATGTAATGTGTGATATATATCATTATACCTTACAGCAGGTTTATGTAGTGTGTGATATATATCATTATGACTTACCGCAGGTTTATGTAGTGTGTGATATATATCATTATAACCTACAGCAGGTTTATGTAGTGTGTGATATATATCATTATACCTTACAGCAGGTTTATGTAATGTGTGATATATATCATTATACCTTACAGCAGGTTTATGTAGTGTGTGATATATATATCATTATAACTTACAGCAGGTTTATGTAGTGTGTGATATATATCATTATACCTTACAGCAGGTTTATGTAGTGTGTGATATATATCATTATACCTTACAGCAGGTTTATGTAGTGTGTGATATATATTATTATACCTTACAGCAGGTTTATGTAGTGTGTGATATATATTATTATACCTTACAGCAGGTTTATGTAGTGTGTGATATATATCATTATACCTTACAGCAGGTTTATGTAGTGTGACATGTAGTGACATGTTGTTGGTAATATATATATCCTCATTAATTACCAAAGGTTTATGTTGTGTGATCTATATCATCATAGCTCACTGCAAGTTTCTGCACATGTTCTTGGTAATATATATATCATCATAACTTACAGCAGGTTTATGTAGTGTATGATATATACCATCACTCCTTACAAAAGGTTAACATAGTGTATGATATATATCATCACTCCTTACAAAAGGTTAACATAGTGTATGATATATATCATCACTCCTTACAAAAGGTTAACATAGTGGGAGATATATATCATCATTGCTTACAGTAGGTTTATGTAAAGGGTAATATATATATCATCATCATTACTCACCACATGTTTATGAAGTGTGTGATATATATCATCATTTCTCACGCCAGGTTTATGTAAAGTGTAATATATATCATCCTTGCTCACCACATGTTTATGTAGTGTGTGATATATATCATCATTTCTCACAACAGGTTTATGTAAAGTGCAACATATATCATCATTACTCACCGCATGTTTATGTAGTGTGTGATATATATCATCATTTCTCACACCAGGTTTATGTAAAGTGTAATATATATATATCATCATTACTCACCACATGTTTATGTAGTGTGTGATATATATAATTATTTCTTACACCAGGTTTATGTAGTGCGTGATATATATATATATCATCATTACTCACCACATGTTTATGTAGTGTGTGATATATATCATTATTTCTCACACCAGGTTTATGTAAAGTGTAATATATATCATCATTACTCACCGCAGGTTTATGAAGTGTGTGATATATATCATGTTCCAGAGTTTCCTGAAGTTGTATCAAAGATTTGTTTGTCTCAACAGGGTATAAAATCTTACTATCTGGAAGTAAAACATCAATACATTTAAATGAAGAGAAGAGTTTACTGAAAAACATACATTAATATTATAATTATTAATTTATTATTATTATTACATGCATATATTTACATAACTTGTACTTCGTGGAAGAATAAATTACTAATTAAGTTTATAAACTGAAAGAGAATTGCAAATCAGTAACAGAGACAGTACTGTACCTTTGAGACTGTAATTTGCTCTACAGAACTGTATCCATGGATTATTAGATATATCTGCAGGGTAACTAAGGTTTTCCTTCTTTAAATACTGAAAGAAATACACAAATTTCATTAAATTGCACATTTGAAAAGGAAAATTCTTGTACATTTATTTTAATACAAAATTCTAGGTTGAATGTAAAATGTAAAAACTAATTAAGAAAAAATGAATATTGTACTTTTGTTCTATTCTTGCCCTAAGTTAAGGTTAAAGCTTTGCAAGGCTTTTCAATTTGGGGGTGATTTTTTCAGAATTATATAAATGATTCTGGAAAAACAGAGTGCACAAATGATCTGAAATTTTGCATATATGTCCAAACCTATATCAATTGAAATATTAATCTTGACAAATTATTGCTGGTCCTGTCATCTCAAAATGCCTCAGTGGAGTCCCTTTAACATGCAAGTTATTTGCTGAGTATCCCTATATATACATGTAGTGTACATGTATTTATCTATATTTAATTTGTTAAAGATTAATTTTCACTTTTAAGTGCCTTTGAAAGATTTTAAGCAATAATTCTATTCTTTTTAGCAAAAGTTGAGGGAATGATTATAGTAAGGGAAGGATGGGGGAACATTTGAACAGGGGTCAACTTTTATTTTCGAATAGATATCTGTATTGAGTATATAGTATAAAGTCATGACCATGAACTTACCTGACCAACTTTCTCCAGTTTAAAGCCAGATTTCTTATCTGTAGGTGAAACAGCCCTCAAATCTTCAATAGATTCTTCCTCTTCTCTCTATAAGTATACATAAATCATATATATCACAATATCAAATATCATACATGGACAATATAGTGACAAATAATTGCAAAAAGTAACCACTGAATGTAATTTATTATTACTTGTCTATATTTATAACTTCATGTAAAACCTGTACACTTTCTTAGTCAACGTTATGCAATTATTGACTAGTGTGCCATTGAATATAATGTGATATATTGACCGTGGCCATAGCAAAAGCTGTGCATACAAAAGTAATTCAAGTTTATACTCATCGATGCGGTGTAACCTTTAACTATAATAGTAAAGTAATGATATCTTAATCACGAAATATGACACAAAGAACAAAACGCAACAATTAAAATTAATTTTAATTATGTTGACTTGTAATAAACAGTCTACGATGTATGGTCATTAAATATGAGTCTTAATCTATTTTTAGACTGGGAAAATCCAATTCAGTCAGTGAATATGATACTACACCCAGTGAATATGATTTTATAAAAATTTCTGTTGACTAATGATTGGACCAATGACATTGCAGCTATATTTAGATCCTATAATAAACTTTATTATGGAACAAGGAACTTCAAATACAATCTAAGTACATGCATATTGTACAAGAATAATTGATGTAAAATCTGTACATAAATGATGAAAAGTTTAATACATACTGGAGTGAACTGGGCGAAATTATCTGTAAGGAAATCTGCTACAAAATTAACATCATGCTGGGTCATCTGAAAAATTGTAACAAATTATGATCATTTAAATACTTGTTTTTGTTTATTTCTCAATACAGTCAAACCTGGAAACAAAGGTCATCCAAACGAGAGATTAAACTTATTATGTATTTGTAGACAAGTGGTCTTTATTTGCATGATTTTCTGTTCTATTTAATTAATGTAAGGAGTTATAGAGTTGTTTTTATTTACAGGGCGATTTTTGTAATGAGATGGTCTTAAACTCATGTATAAATATTTTAGCAATTAAAAATAAAATACGAAACTTTAATTAAATTTTACTGAAAAGTACCTACATAGATACATTGTAATCAAAGTACTAAATGTATAAATATCGATTTTGACCATGTTTGTGAACAGAAATCATAAAGTAGACTACTGTAATAGTTTAGTACAGTTGCCATAAGGTCAAAATGAAGGCCAAACAACTGTCTCAAATGCTTTTTGGGCTGCCTCAAAACCTAGATAACACTCTCTGTTGTAAGTGATAAAACTAAAACTGACCACTTCTTATTGAAAACTGACTGTCTCAGAAAACTTTTACTAACAACCTAGAGTTGAAACTTGAAACATATGATACATGTTATATTGCTGTATGTCAAATAACATTAACTTACTGACCTTCTCAAATAAAATACATTGTAGTTTGATGGTCCTCTAGTTAGATATAAGCTTTCCCTACTTTTACTTCCAGTATATCACCAGTTTGTAATAATATTTCAGCTTCATATCACTCTACATTTCCTGAATATTTTTTTCAGCAAAAACTTACTTCTCCACTTTAAACAAGAGTTTTTAGAAGGACAGCATGCTCAACTATTCTCAGTGCTTGATAGTAATAAAAGAGCTTGGATAATATAGAATTTTCAAAAATATTTCTGTCAATATCCACATAAGAGTTATGGGCCTTGAACATTGACCTCCCATTAAGTGTGTAAAATGTCCAGCAGTTTTAGGTATACCAACTTACATGCAAAAACTTAACCAAGGTATGATGGTGACACTGATGCCTGAAATACGCACAATAGCTTTATTCCGCAAATAGTCAAGCTTAAAAGCTTCAAATCAACGGATGATAGCCAAAACTTGGCAAATGAGGGTTTTTTCAAAGCTATACCTGAGGTACAAACTTTTATCATTATAGCTTTACCATGCACTACCCTTCACAATAGATTAGTCAATCTGTTTCACTCAAGACTGTATTATAAGTTTATTGCTGAGAAAATCCAATATTCTAAATTCAAGAATAAGTCTATTGAATTTTTTTAATGGATGATGTAATTTCAAACATTATGTCATTAAAAAAAGTATACATATGTAATGGAAAAAAAAGACTTGAACACTTAAATGAAAAGCAAGTACAATACTTTACCATATTTTTTTCATCAATATTACCTTGTTGAAACTTCAAACAATACACTTACCTTACTTAGCTCAGGAGGTGGTTTTTCATCTGATAATCTTAAGATAACTGTAAAAAAACATGAAATGCTTAATATTGTAAAGATGAAATCCGTAATTCCATTTTATATGCTCTGCTACCCTTTAACTTGTTTCAAAAAGTGCCAATGTGCATAAAATGGAAAAGCTATTAGTTTCTTAAACTAGCTTTAATGATGTAGGATTCTGAATAAAAATAACTGTGATAAAGTAAAGACAGAAGATTTTAAAAACAAATAACACAAAATAACAGAAAGAAGTTCTCTGTCTTTTATGCCCTACCATCACAGGTCATTTGAAAAACTCCATATGCCCCTCCTAACATTAATTTTTGCAAAATAGGCATCTGTCTACAACTACCAGCAACTACAAGATAGCTGGATAATTTGTTCTCAGATTATTGACTAAATCAAAGATTCTAAAAATGTGTAAATAGAATAAGCTAACACAAGTGTAACAAGAAATATCCCCATCTAAGATAATGTTTCACCTTTGGAATTAACTTACCTACATAAAGCCATCTGAAGAAAGCTTTAAAATTCTTTATACTTCCATCAATAACCCTGAAATTGTGAAAAATTCAATAAAATAATACATGTATATTTCACATTGAGAAACATTTATGAGAAAGCATACTGCCAATTTACTAAAGGATAGCAGCAGTGGTCAACTGGTTAAGCTGTCTACCTCTCAATCAAGGGATCGAGCATTAAAGCCCTACTGGCCATGTTTCCTCATCGGACACCAGTACTGGCTAGTCCCAGTAACAAGACTTGTGAGTGGTTCAATTAACTACAAGCAAGCATAGTTAAATGTTTAAAATAAAACATTTTTAAAAGAACCATAAGGTTTAGCCAGCCGTTTGACCTAATTGAACAAGGAAGACAAAAACTAGATCTCCAACTGCTGTGGCATTTACCGTATAAGTACTTATTTCTGCAGGCTTAATATTCTGCGATTTTTGTTAAAATAAGGGGTTTTAAATTTCTGCGTTTTCTATTTCTGCGGTGTTATCATTCTCGCATTGATGAGTTTCATATCTGCGTTTTAACTAAGATATTTGTACAAAATTAACTGATAAAAAGACAACATTTCAAGATTTCATGATGTTACATTACTTCCACGACTGATAATGTGTTTCGTCGTTATCAATTAGTATCGGTATATGCACGTTAAAAACAAACAAGAAAATAACATGCAATGACAAATTTTAATACTGTAATTGTATAAATATGAAGTGTGAAAATAAACAATGGCAAAATCGCACATGGACTTAATATATTGTACAAATGCATATGTTTATAGCAGGTTTTAATGAAAATAACAAACAAGGGTAATTTTTGCATCACCTGTCAAACTATAATTATAGTTGTTTTTTAAGCTATTCACAAAAAAGACCCATCAAGCTTGGGGTGAGTGAAAATCATACAGACATGATAATTATTTATTTCAACAAAAAGAACAAGCAAAGTAATTTATTTTTAACTATTTTATTCATGACGGATACATAAAGAAGACAATCCTATCTACAAAAGCGGATAACTACACATGTTATTGTATTTATACTATCCCGGTAGTTTAAATATTTTGTCATAAACAAAAGGAAAGGCTTAATTTTCTGCGGTTTTTAAATCTGCGGTGACGTTATGAACCGCAGAAATAGCAGAAATAAAGTTCCAGCAGAAAAAAGTACTTATACGGTATTAGAATTAATAATATCAATTTACAAACTAATTTAATGTTACTGTTAAGATGAGAACAGAAATTTATATCAAAGTGTGCAAAATTTCCTTGCAAAAGAGTGGAAATAAGAATCTCTAAAGCACTTCCAAACCGGCAAATTGAAAATATTACAGGTTTGGTTTGACTGACAGTACTGGAAAGTGCAAACTACCATCCATGGCCCCCTTAGCGCAGACTTAAGCAGAAATCAACAGTTTAGTAGAAATGGTAAAAAATGTTATCAAGAAACATCCCCAGATATGTTCATTCAGCAGTTCTTATCGCACGCTCTATGAAAAGCAATGTATTGTTCCCAAGTAAAAAAATGTTTATTTATTGTTTGTTTTCAGCATATAACCTGCAACAAATACTTGAACAGGAAAGTAAAACTGAAAGTCCTTGGTATACCCCATTCCAAAGACAAAGATATGCCCGTATTTTTTTTTTTTTTGGGGGGGGGGGGGGGAACTTGCTCAATTATTTTTATAATTCTGATAATAAATTATTCTTACTGTTGAAGTTCACTAGTTTTTAGCACAAATGATCCTGCTGCCATCTCAGCCTTGTGTATACTTTTGTCATCTACACCAAGAACACCAAACTTCTCATAACATTTAGACATACCTTTTAGTTCACTTAGATGATACACTATAGCTTGACTTACACTGGAAAAAAACAATGTGAACCAATATCATGGCTATAACATTCCAATACAATATATTTTTTGACAAATATAACAAAACTTCAAAAATTTCATTGGCAAAAAAAGTTCACAGGAATAAAGTTTGATTGACAAATGAAATTTACAGGGGAAAAGTTTCAATGACAGATGAAGTTTACAGATTTCAAGTTCCATTGAAAAAAGTAAGTTTACAGGAATAAAGTTTCAATGACAAATGAAGTGTGCTTGAAAAATGAAGTTGATTACTTTCTAAGAGTTAAAGCAATATGTGTTTACATCTCCAAATAACATAATGGAAAATAAATGTGGTATCCAACATCAAACAAACCACTGTTGCTTCTACTTATTTTTCTGAATTATTTAAAAAGCATCATATACCCTTACAAACCCCCGAAATGAAATGAGCTTTAAAGGAGTCAATAGGTGTAACAAGATGTTGAATGTATCCACAGAACACTGATGTATCCACAGGACACTGATGTATCCACAGGACACTGGTGCTCTCTCATTCAAGTGTTTTGTCAGTCTATAGACAGTGTGATAGCAGAATAGCATGAGAGAACAGTTTAATTGGACTATAAGTGGGGGCATAAAAAAGTGCATTATCTGTCAGTGAATTTATTTTTGAAATATCATATTTAATATATCATTATTTGTCATATTTAATTATAATTTACGACATCATATTTTATTTTGACTTTAGATGTCATATTTTATTATCATTTCAGACATCACATTTTATTATAATTTAAGATGTCATATTTCATAATCATTTAAGATGTTGTACATTGTATTTCATTATCATTTAAAACTTTGTATTTCATTATCATTTGTGCATTATCATTTAAGACGTTGTATTATCATTTCATTATCATTTAAGACATCATATCTAATTATCATTTAAGATGTTCTACTTCATTATCATTTAAGATGTTGTATATCATTATCATTTAAGATGTTCTACTTCATTATCATTTAAGGTGTTGTATATCATTATCATTTAAGATGTTCTACTTCATTATCATTTAAGGTGTTGTATATCATTATCATTTAAGATGTTCTACTTCATTATCATTTAAGGTGTTGTATATCATTATCATTTAAGATGTTCTACTTCATTATCATTTAAGATGTTGTATATCATTATCATTTAAGATGTTCTACTTCATTATCATTTAAGATGTTGTATATCATTCTTACGTTTGTAGATGTTTCACGACAAGTTTCTGTATATTGGAGTATGACGTCTCAATTGAATGACCTAATTTCTTTAAACCCTGTAATAGAAAACATATACCTCATCAACGTCAATATCATCCTTGTAATGAAAAATATAATATCATAATATATCATAATTTTTCTAAACTTAAAATTCAGATATAAATAATATCAAAAGGGAAATAACTGTTAATATGTTGTCCAAGCCAAACTTGCCAATGATATGCACAGCTACATGTCGACTAGGAAATAATCATTATTTTAAAATTAAATCCATTTCAGGCAAGGGTATTGGAGAGATGGTGCCATCTAGTTTGCTTATATCAAAAGTTTTTCCATCAGTATTTAAGTCTATCTATGGTTACCAATTCAAATGAAGACAGCATTATACATAAGACATGTCTATAGATGCATTTTTATGTTCAGATATGATCAAACAATTGTGGTATACAAACCGTATTGTAACAAGACAAAAAATTTCTAACACTTCAAAATTAATGTTAAACAGGAGAAACTTTGGTCCTTTACTACAAAGGAAGATTGTGCTTATTATCATACCTTACCTTATCTGTAAGTTCATGAGATAGGAATGTCTTGAGTTCAGAACTGAAACAAAGAGAAAATGAGCCGCGTCACAACAAAACCAACATAATGCGTTTGCGACCAGCATGAATCCAGACCAGCCTGCGCATCCGCGCAGTCTGATCAGGATCCATGCTGTTCGCTAACATACTCTATAACAAGTAGAGAAACTGATAGCGGACAGCATGGATCCTGATTAGACTGCGCGGATCGCAAACGCATTATGTTGGTTTTGTCATGACGTGGCTAAAATATAACTTCACACCACTGATACCTGAAGATTCACATTCTACAAATTGTATGAAGATAATAAGATAATACAAAACAAGAGCTGTTAATAGGATGGCATCTTGATTAGCCAGTGACCTATTATGCTGCTATATAAGTGTGTAAAGTTTTAACCCATGTCCTTCAGTAGATACAAACTTGTAGGCAAAAAATTGAAAGCGAGGGTGACACAGAGGCCTGCATGAGTACAATAGCCCTCCCTATTCTTTGAAAAGTCAAGCTAAATTTTAAGAAAAAAATGCTCACTTTCAATAATAGTATATGACAGTTCATTAACAATTTTCTGCTCAAAGAACAATATTACCTGATGCTCCATCAATATCTTATCATCATACAATGTATATAAGAATGTAAAAATATGAAACACAAACCTGGGTGTACCAAACAATAGTAACTCTAGGAAGTCATTGCTAACTGTACCAGCCCCAGCTGCCTGAAATACAGACATTTATAAATGTTACAAGGTCGTACTTGTGTGGAAAAGTTTGTGAATCCTGAATCCTCATTTTTCTTCAATAAAATTTACACTTACCCCTGCAATATATTCAAAATGGTTAACTCACTACTACAGTTGAATTCACTGTTTGCTCAATGATCTTGAAACAGAATGACATCATTTTTGTTAATATTTGTTTTTGACACATGAGCAAATATCATGTTGCAATACAAACTAAGTAGGTAAAGTAATGTATATATATATAATCTTTATAGTCTCATCCATACATAACATTTACAACATTTCAATTACAAATTGTAAAACATAAAATCATAAAATTGCCTGTATGGTCATTTTGAGAGACTAATACATAGTTACAGGGGAGACAACTCCTCAGTCCATATTGCAAATACTTCCTATATGTACTGAAGAGTTACCTATCTGTTCATCTGAATAAATCCAAATATAACTACATGTATATGAGATTTACTTGAATACACCACTTTGTAAATATCAACAGTTAAACTTGCTAGTCTGTTACTAAAATCTAGATAAACAAATCTTATAAAACCTTGACAACTCAATACTATGACAAAATCTCCTGTTATCTGAAAGATAGATTAAAATATGGGTCTCACTTTAATCAGAGTAAACTAAAATTAATTAACCCTTTCGCTGCCAGAGGGTTATTTATTTATTGATCACCTATTTGCCAGAAGGTTTTCTAAGAAATTACTATATTATTAATTAATAGAACTATTATTATTTGTTATTACTATTATAATAATTATACATGCTAGAATAATAATAATTATTGTTTATGGTATAATTATCTATATTTTTTATTATTATTATTCTTATAATTATTATTATTATAATAATTACAATCATAATCATTATTATTACTATTATAGAAACGGCAAAAGCCGTCCATATGTTGGCAAATACGCCGAAAATAATAGGGACGGCATATGCCGTCCCTATGGCAGTAAAAGGGTTAACAAATGTACTTTAGTCTGCAATAAAAGTAAGTTAACTAAAACATAAAAAAGTTATTATAAGTTACACATAAAATAACATCAAGTAAGTAAAAGAAGAAGTATTACTAAAATTACAAATAATACTGTTATAAAAAAATTTATTTATTTAACAAATTAATTCTTTCTTTTAAAATAGCGCAACAGGTTTTGGCAGTTTCCCTTACAATATCCTTGTTGTTGAGAACAAAAATAAGTTTTTCCTGCTTATTGAGATTAACAAAGTTATTATCTATTTCCATGGATTTAGAAATTAACATCTGTCCTAGATCATGGTAGGCAAAGCATTCGAACAGAACATGAATCTCATTTTCAATTGAGAGTGTATGATAATATACAAGTATTTGTTTGACATGAACTTAACTTTTTATACTTCAAAAATGCAAGAGATTTTTCCAGAAAAAACACATTTTACAAATAAGAATTATACTTTTTACCTGTTTCTCTTCAGCAAAATTGTACAATTTTGAGTCCATCTCTAAAAGGATATCTTCCCAAGCCTCCTGCATTTGTTGAATTGTCATTTGCAAATACTGAAAATATATGATTGTACATAATTATACATAAATTCTGAAGAAAGTTAACAGCCACTATGGATCACAACTTCTGTTAAAATCAAGATATCTACATACAAATGGATCTATCACAAAAAGATCACCATTAAATTAAAATGTTCAATTTGGATTTCTCAATACATTTGTGTATTGATCAAAAGGTTATCAATTTGAAGAGAAATTAACAAAAGCCACCTTGACTGTTACGTTAAAGTTTTTGAATTTTGCTTAAATTGCTATAACTTTGTTCTTAATGGACTGATTTGATTCATAATGACAAAAACACTGAATAATTAAAGAAGTATGATCTGTATATGACCTAGATTGCCAAAGTTAAATATGAAATATATTACATTCTGTAGAAAAAAAATAATGAAATTATGTTTTCTTTGAAATATCACTCACTACCATGTCCCTTTTTGTTTGCATTATGATTAAGAAATGAGAATAAATAAGTTTTCAGAAACTAAGAGCACTGGAAAAGGCAATTTCGAACAACACCAGGACTTTAGCAATACCTCAATTTTTTATTTGAAAATGTCAACCAAATTTAAATGTGTAAAGAAAAGCCTTTTAAATGAAAATGTCTGTTACACACATTGTTTAGTGGTATAATTCTAAAATCTAAATTTCAGAGCAGCAAGCTTAATAGCTTTTTTGTTTTTTTATGACGAAAGCTAGCTCTTTTTCAGTTTATAATTCCTGCATGTCATACTTGTTTAGTAGTTTAAATGTACAAACATTACTAAGTTTGTTCTACTACCTGAATCAATGTTGCTATCTGACCATATTTCAAAGCTAGAAGATGAAGTTCTTTATCATGTGATGCCAGTAAACTTGTATCAAACTGTAAAAGAACAAGGCCTGTTGTTAGAAACAGACAAAATGGCCCCTAACCAGTAGCCTGTTGAAAACGCATAACCTTTTATTTACAACAAAGGCATGGTTACTATAAACAAGAGCTGTCGGTAGGACAGCAACGCTTGACTTTTCTTAGTGCTTGATAGTAAAAACAAAATGCTTGATACAGTTACCTCCTCCAGTTTACAGGTTGGGATGCTGATGGTGAACAAGTGTGCAAAGTTTCAAAGCCATATGTCTATGGACTTTGAAAATATTTGAGGTATTACAGAAACTTTAAGGTAAATTCTAAGTCGAAAAAGGGGCATAATTCTGTCAAAGTGCTTGATAGAGTTACCTCCTCCTGTCTACAGGTTGGGGTCATGATGGTGAACAAGTGTGCAAAGTTTCAAAGCCATATATCAATGGACTTTGAAAATATTTGAGGTATTACAACAAGAGCTGTCGGTAGGACAGCAACGCTCGACTATTCTTAGTGCTTGATAGTAAAAAAAAATGCTTGATACAATTACCTCCTCCTGTTTACAGGTTGGGGTAATGATGGTGAACAAGTGTGCAAAGTTTCAAAGCCATATGTCAATGGACTTTGAAAATATTTGAACTATTACAAAAACTTTAACGTAAATTCTTAGTCGAAAAAGGGGCATAATTCTGTCAAAATGCTTGATACAGTTACCTCCTCCTGTTTACAGGTTGGGGTCATGATGGTGAACAAGTGTGCAAAGTTTCAAAGCCATATGTCAATGGACTTTGAAAATATTTGAACTATTACAAAAACTTTAACGTAAATTCTAAGTCGAAAAAGGGGCATAATTCTGTCAAATGCTTCATAGAGTTACCTACTCCTGTCTACAGGTTAGGGTCATGATTGTGAACATTAGTGTGCAAAGTTTAAGCCATATGTCAATGGACTTTGTAAATATTTGAGGTGTTACAAAAACTTAAACGTAAATTCTAAGTCCAAAAAGGGGCATAGTTCTGTCAAAATGCTTGATACAGTTACCTCCTCCTGTCTACAGGTTAGGGTCATGATGGTGAACAAGTGTGCAGTTTCAAAGCCATATGTCAATGAACTTTGAAAATATTTGGGGTATTACAAAAACTTGAATTGTAAACTCTAAGTTGAAAAAGAGGCATAATTCTGTCAAAATGCTTGATACAGTTACCTCCTCCTGTCTACAGATTAGGGACATGATGTAGAAGAAGTGTGCATAGTTTCAAAGCCATATGTCAATGGACTTTGAAAATATTTTAGGTATTACAAAAACTTTAACACAAGTGTTTTCGCCGACGCTCGGGTGACTACAATAGCTCTACTTATTCTTATCGAATAGTCGAGCTAAAAACTTTAACGTAAATTCTAAGTCGAAAAAGGGGCATAATTCTGTCAAAATGCTTGATAGAGTTACCTCCTCCTGTTTACAGGTTGGGGTCATGATGGTGAACAAGTGTGCAAAGTTTCAAAGCCATATGTCAATGGACTTTGAAAATATTTGAACTATTACAAAAACTTTAACATAAGTGGTTACGCCGACGCCGACGCTTGGGTGACTGCAATAGCTCTACTTACTCTTATCGAATAGTCGAGCTAAAAAGAACAACTATCCATGATTTTTTTGACATCCTTGTACAACCTTCACTTTTCTGTCAACATGGAGGGCATTTCATTGTCATAATGTTCAACACATTGATTCATAGTAATTTTTAAAATCCATCCAGGAATAACAGAATTGTGGACTGGACACAAACATCAATGCACTTTATTAAAAATTCATATTATGACTCTGGATCTTTCAGTGTGACCTTGGCCTTGAGCAAAAGACCTAATTCATGTTATGACACATCGTGATAATGTTCAACACATTTATGTATAATGATTTTTAAATCTATCAAGGAATGATGAACAATGGACAAAAACAAAAGAGCATTTCCTTTGAAGTCAAAGTCTGACCTTGACCTTGACCTAGATCTTGCAAAAGACACAATGTTTCAATGTGCTACACATTTAATCTATGGCCTTGACATGGTCGGGACAGAACAGCAGAAAGTCAGATAGTTGCTGCAAAAACTCTATGCCTCGTCATTTTTCAAAGAAACATTGACCTCTATATAATTTGTTGCTGTTTGATGCAACATATTGAATAGGGCAAACTGTATATGAAAGTTACATATGTGTATAAATATTTTGCTGGTACCAATTCTGCCAGGCAAATTGCAACATTCTAGCATTGCCAGTGGAGGAAAACCTCAGGTCAAACACCAGATAAATTTCAGATAAACAATGTATATAGGCATATCTATTGAACCATTTTTCTTATGAACGTTAACTGAATAGCTAAAATTAAAGAATTTAAACAAACATGGACAAGTGATTGATGCGTCCAACTAGTAACCTTAGTATTGCCGGTCATATGGGTTAAAACCCAATCAGAGGCAAGCCATCATTTTAATAGGCAACAAATTTAACAGCTTATAGCTTTCAACACAATCAAACTAAAATTATACTGTATGACCTAATACTAAATAAGTGGTCTGTTTGTTTTTCCAAAAGATAAAATTTCATTGAATCTTGAATGTGTGGAATAACCTATCCACAAAAACCACGAAAATTAGTGCCCCACTATAAAAAATGATTTTGCAGTATACATTATACAGGAAAGACTTTCAGTAAATACATACAGTATGAAGTGTATACTCCAGATCTTCCTCATGCTCTTGCTGTAAAACAACTGCTAAACTGTTCAAATCCTCAGATAACATGGCTGACACCATCTCTATTTTCTGAAATGCAACATATAATATTTAGTATGTACAATATATGTTGGTGGATTTTTTTAATTTACCCTCCGGATCATGGCAGTAAGATGCACCAGAGTTCAGGCTCCCCATCATACCTGGGCAGGCTCTCTAGCAGCTCACAAGTACTAGTTGCCATCGTTATTGCAAAGAACTAATAACTTTTGTACATGCCAGAGCAGAGGGACAGTGCGAATGACTTGTAGAAAAGACTTCATAATCAACCACAACAAAAGTGACCAGCACCATCTGGGAATCCAACCAAGTCACCTGATTCTCAGTCCAATGCTCTACCGATTGAGCTAACTGGACAGATTAAGTATATTTGTGATCACTTATTCGATATCATTTCATTAAAACCAAAGCATAAATCCTTAAAGTAAAAGGGTATACAGCTACATCTATTGAAATATTTCTATAATTTTCTGGTCCATTCTCTAAAGAATTATAACATAGAATGACTCTGTTATTTAAACACAATATTGTATGAAACAGAATGAGATGCTTGCAAACAAAATATCATGCTGCTATTTGAGTCACGTCACGACAAAACGTAATGCGTTTGCGACCAGCATGGATCCAGACCAGCATGCGCATCCGCGCAGTCTGATCAGGATTCATGCTGTTCGTTATCAGTTTTGCTACTTGTAATAGGGTTGGTAAGCGAAAAGCATGGATCCTGATCAGACTGCGCAATGCGAAAACTGGTCTGGATCCATGCTGGTCGCAAACACATTATGTTGGTTTTGTTGTGACGCGGCTCATTTTAAGAAGAGTTGTAAGTGTTGTGCAATGAATTTGTGTATGCAGTATGTATACAAACATATTTCTTCCAAACACGATTTTTGGAAGTATTCTTTTTTAGAATTTAAACACTATTTTTTTTTTTTAATGAAACTCTTTAAAGAAATTCTATTTCAGAAACTGTAATTGTATTCTTTTTTAGAATTTAAATACTATTTTTTTTTTTAATGAAACTCTTTAAAGAAATTCTATTTCAGAAACTGTAACAGAGCACAAAAACAAAACATTTTTTTTTTCTTTTTTTGTCTACATTGAAAGATCTTCTAGTCTTAGATATTAAGCAGACAGTAATCTGTAACTCTTTAACAAAATTCTTTTTCAGAAACAGTAACAGGGCACAAAAACATAAAGCTTTCAAAAATTAAAAATAATAGCAATTTTGAGGTGTTTTCTTTTTTGTCTAGATTGAAAGATCTTCTAGTCTAAAATATTAAGCATGGTAAAAATGACATAAATGTACATAAAACATAAATGGCATATGATCAAAGCAATGCTGAGAGGGACAGAATGAAAATGGCATCACCATTGATGAGAATGAAAATAAAATGAGCAAACAGCTAAACTGAGAATATTATTCAAAATAAATTTTACCTCTGATCCTGAAATGTCCCCAACTGATATCTTGGCAATAGGAAAAACACCATATATGTATAATTGTAGCTCATGTGACTTACTGCCAATGATTAAAATATTTAACCTGAAAAAAAGAACAAATAATATTATATAGATAGAATTAAAGTGTTTTTTTATATTCTTTATACAATCTGGTTGCTTCCATTATTCAATTACTTCCTTTATTTACTTTTTTTCTTTCAGAAAAAAATCATTTCACAGTATACAACTGTTCAGTTATAAGGGGAGGCAGCCTGTTAGTTAAGTGGGTGGTGCCAAAGTAAAGTATTCTAAGGGTCCCTAGTTTTAGTTTCAGTCAGGCTGCACAAATTCCCTCTTAATTGCTGAAACCTATACAGTACTAATTTGAGTCTATTTGACTAGAAATTAATAGAACTTTTTTAGTCAAAGACATTATGCATTACGAGTTCAAAACCTGCTTTGGTTACCACAATATATCCTCATATAACACTTAGTCCCTGGAAGCAAACTTGAAAGTGGCAGAAATATGCTTTAAAGCTGCATGCCTCCAGATGAGCCAAATATGTCAAGAAAATCAAACTTCAGAAAAATGTACTAGAATTTTAAGAAAAGTAAAAAGATTCAAGATTCAAGTAATAATTTACATGTTATGTTCCATTAACGACTGATTATGCAGCATTTATCACCATATTTCTACAGCGTGACTAACAAAGTAAGGGTTATAATTCATTTTTGCAGATTGTAACCTCAATTGTATTGTAAGGGCCGCTTGCAATTCACTTCCCACTATTTTATTTTTAAATACATTTTTCAAATATTCATGAAAATAAGTATTCTATACAACCAAACTTAAAGAAATAATGTTTAAACTAAAATATACAGGTACTGTTTATGCCTAAATGGATTAACTGGGTGAAAATAAAAATCAAAGTATCACTAAAATTTGTGGTTCAAAGGTAAAAAATATCTCTTGTAAATGTAAAAGTGATACAACAGCTGTTACAGGATATTACTTCATTGCAGTATCAATTTTCATTTTGTAAATCAGAAAGTTTACTTTTAAGCACATACTCTTTCTGTCCTTTTAATTTCTTTTTATCCTCTACATTTTCTTCAATATTCCCTTTAGATAAATTTCCATAACTTTTTGTTAGTGGTTGTAGTTTTGGCAGATATAGTTCCGTGCTATCGTCTGAATATGGTTCACATGACCAAGTCCCGCCTACAGGGAGGACCTGACACACCCATGATAAACATGTGATCTCCTTTTCTAACTCTATTGTATGAAGAACTTCAGCATTTTCTATGTAGCACAGATTGACCTGTCCTGATGTGTAGCCAACAGCCAGAACTGTAAACAAAAATTGTATATTTGTAAGAACCCTTTCATTTTTCACTGAAATGTTAAAGTCTAAAATAAATGCTGATTGCTGAATAGCTCTAAATTTAAGACAGACAAAGTCAAAGGTGCATTTTACAAATTTCATAAAAACAAAAATATTTTCATTTTGTTACTACATACTACAATGGGTTTCATATCGACCCTCATTCTTATTTTGGTGTCCAGAAAGCCAAAATGAGTATTATGTACATAAAATGTCTCCAGCCTCCTTATGACGAAATCTGTTTGCATAAAATACTTTGCATTTGGATCATACAGACATCAACAGAAAATCAACAAGCAAATTCGTTTAATTTTTATCCCCCGCCGAGTACTGGTTATTATTAACACAACAACAGAAGACATAAGGCTTTATTTATATATTAATCATGGCATAAACAGAAATGTTCTTTGAACTTGATAAATATTCAGGGCAATAACAGAGCCATAACTTTGTGATAAATAGTAAAATCTGGAAATGCCAATGAGATGTATGCACACTACATAACTAATCAAGGGCCATAAATCTGAGTTATAAGTATCTGACTGGAACAAGGCGACTATATGCACATCTCCTCTTAGTATCCCATAAAGTTTCATTGAATTCCAGCCGGTAGTAGCAGAGAAGTAGCGAGGAAACAAATATTTTTCTATATGGATACTGCATAACTAATCAAGGGCCATAACTCTGAGTTAAAGTGTCTGACCCGAACAAGCCGGCAATATGCGCATCTCCTCTTGGTATTGAAGGTTCCCATAAAGTTTCGTTGAATTCCAGCCAGTAGTTGCAGAGAAGTAGTGCAGAAATGATTTTTACTGTATATGCATACTACATAACTAATCAAGGGCCATAACTCTGAGTTAAAGGGTCTGACCGGAACAAGCCGACGATATGCGGATCTCCTCTTGATATTGATGATTTCCATAAAGTTTCGTTGAATTCCAGCCAGTAGTTGCAGAGAACTACTCCGGAAACAATTTTTACTCCATATGCATATTGCATAACTAATCAAGGGCCATAACTCTGAGTAAAAGTGTCTGACCCGAACAAGCCGACGATATGCGCATCTCCTCTTGGTATTGAAGATTCCCATAAAGTTTCGTTGAATTCCAGCCAGTAGTTGCAGAGAAGTAGCGCGGAAACGATTTTTACTGCATATGCATACTGCATAACTAATCGAGGGCCATAACTCTAAGTTAAAGTGTCTGACCGGAACAAGCCTACAATATGCGCATCTCCTCTTTATATTGATGATTCCCATAAAGTTTCGTTGAATTCCAGCCAGTAGTTGCAGAGAACTACTCTGGAAAACGATTTTTACTCTACATTGTATATGCATACTACATAACTAATCAAGGGCCATAACTCTGAGTTAAAGTGTCTGTCGGAAACGAAATTCGGACGGACGGATGGACGGACGGACGGACAACGCCAAAACTATATCCCCCTCCTGATTCCATCGGCGGGGGATAACAAGCATGGCTTTAAAAAGCAATTGGAATATAACAATATATTTCCGCATTAAATAACAGATGTTTTCGTACAAATTTTATCTCATTTTTTAGTTGATTACTCTTGTGTAAAATTGTAATTTTTGAACAATATCTATCAGGTTTAAAAACTACTGTTAAAATGGTATGAAATACATAAAAATTGGAAGAATTCATTTGATGTGAAATCCTCAGGCCCCATGTTCACTAAAGTTTAAAGGATTAAGATCAGGATCAAATTTAAAAAGTCAAATATTAGCCATTGTTTATTTTTAAAGATTAAATGTTTATTATTTAACTTCATAAAATTGGACTTGAAATAGCATATTTATGAAATTTAAGAACACATTCACAGTTATTTTACAACATTATACACTTGATCCAAATATTGATCTTGATCCTAAAATTAATTTCCAATTATTTCAGAATTTGTTTTGTTATTTGTCAAACTTATCCAAAATAGGGTTGTTTCTTTGCAAATCAATTTACACTTTATATACCATTTTAATCTTAATTCTAGCAAAATGCAAACAATTTTAGTTTTAAAAAACAATGAAAATAAACTGAACATAGGGCCAGAATCTCAATCTAATAATCATTGCACAAATGACAATAGAATATATGTTCTAGAATAACCTTTCCCATCTGGTCTCCATGACATAGCTTTCACTTTAATCTCCTCACTTTGGGCTGGCAAGGACCATACCTTCTGCCACAATAATCTATGCAATACAACCTTAAAAATATACAGAGATAATATATTCACTAAACATACAATATAGATAGTACCAGTACATAGTAATCTAGTATAATTAATGACAGCCTGAGTGGGCACTATCATGTTTTTTGTGATATAATGGAGAAATAATATTAAGCACTTTCGGATCTCATAGAATTATAGTGACCTATGAGCTAGCCAGACCTTAGTTTCCCACTTTCATCTGTTATAGATCAAAAAGTCTCAAAAACACTCCATGTTTTATTTAATAAAACTAAAAAATGACCATCTGAAATTCAAAACCAACTGTCTCGGTAAAAAACTTTAATGACAACCCTGCATGAATGTTCTCTGGTATTCTTACCTCTCCCTGTACATTTGACAGTGCTACAAGATCAAACTTTGGAGACCACACCATCAATTCCACTTCCACAGCAACATGCTTTTCATCCACCTGTCTAAATGCACCTTGCTCTGGCATCATTTTAGTCTACATGAAATCAGAAATAACACATTCTGTATAATCTATTATAATCTATTATATTATACATTATATTTTCACCATAGTGGTCACAAAGTTTGGACAAGGGATAATGCATATACAGGTATATATATATGATATATGTAGCCTGTAGGTATTCAAATATGGTTTAGCATTTTACTAGCTTTCCAGTAGTGTCATGAGTCAATATTTTATATGATTTTCACACACAAAATAAGGACATTTAATATCCAGACCTTGATGTAATATTATATTATTTTGCATAATAGCCAAATCCTGGAGGTGGCATGACCACTAAACCATAATCCTACCCCACACCACTTCTCCATCTGCGCATTTTATAAAAGGGAAAAAAAATGATTGCTGAAAATAAAGTTATCAAAATATTTTATTTTTTATTTATATTTTTTATTTTTGCAACATCACAGATCACAGTTACATAAATATTAAACATAAATATAGATATATAAAATAACAGTTTGACAAATAAAAATATCACTACATAAATAAATATAAATAAATTAAATCATGGACTGTGGTATAAGTTTTGACAAAGGTTAAATTTTAATTACAAAAAATCACCGATAAGATTACGACTACAACAAGCCTGACTGCCTATAACTAATAACTAAGAGCACAAAAATTTGTTTAAAATTACTGGTATTTTATATAGTTGACTATAAAGTTAACTTAGATGTTATGATATTATAAAGTAGGATAAAAAAGTACCTGTATTTATACTGGTAAAAACATTATAATTTAATACAATGGCTTTGTTTAAAGTGATGGCTAGAAAACTTATTTCCAACTGGGTCCTATGAACCAAAAATGGAACAAGTTGAAACCAGAGACTGACTCATCTTTAATATTGAGAAAAAATAAATGGTAAAATAATATAACTTTGAAATAATGTTAGCATTTCTAAATATAGGTTTACACTAGAAATGTGTCCATAGGACACGGATGCCCCCACACGCCACTGTTCTGTCAATCTTATGACTCTAGGTCAAATATTTTTTGGACTACATGTGCCACAAGTTGAAAACTAAAAATCAACAAAGGGCCATAATTCTGTTAAATTTGGTCGCAGCAAAAATTCCTTCCTTTACTACCATCTACACATTAAGGTTGTTAATCCCTGGAAGTTTAAGCAAAATCTGCCATCCGGTTTAAGAGGAGTTGCGTTCACAAAATTTCTACATAGTATATAGTGAAAAAATCAACAAAGGGCCATAATTCTGTTAAATTTGGTCGCAGCAAAAATTCCTTCCTGTACTACCATCTACATATTAAGGTTGTTCATCCCTGTAAGTTTAAGCAAAATCTGCCATCTGGTTTAAGAGGAGTTGCGTTCACAAAATTTCTACATAGTATTGAGTGAAAAAATCAACAAAGGGCCATAATTCTGTTAAATTTGATCGCAGCGAAAATTCCTTCCTTTACTGCCATCTACACATTAAGGTTGTTCATCCCTGTAAGTTTAAGCAAAATCTGCCATCCGGTTTAAGAGGAGTTGCGTTCACAAGATTTCGGGACGTACGGACTGACGGACGGACGGACAAGTGCAACGCTATATGCTCCCACATTGTGGGGGCATAATAACAGTGTTTATAAATGAATGTAAAAAATTTGCTCACTAATTTCCGAGGCTTAACACTTACAGGCTATATTATCACAGTAAGTTTGCATATTAAAAACAGAAAATAAGATAAAATATAAATCAGGATAGGTAAATTCAACAAGTAAGAAAAAACATTACTAAATTATCATGCTATATGCCATGTAATACACATAAAATAAAGGCTTAGTTGCTTTGAATACAAAACACTAATTTCAAACTGGAGCTCTAAGCGTAAAAAAATGTCGTAGAAAAAAATATATAAGAAATTGGAATATTTACTAAAACATTATTTTCTTACAAAATAAAATTTGAAGCAAATTATATGTGCAATGTTTTACCCTCTAGTCTAGTCTGGTAGGGAAATTTCTCAGTTATGATAAGATTGGGAGACAGTAAAATCAATAAACATATACATGTAGGTATGCCGTGTCAGTAGAATTCAATGGAATGTTGCATTGGGGTAATAATTGACAAATATCTATATGAAAATATAATGTACACTGTTATCAGGTAGTGTAGTAGTTTAAACTGATAAAATCACTAATCCATATACGGATATGATAAGCCTATCTGGTCAATTGCCTATGGATTAAAGGGTTAAAATCCATAAAATTTACTTTGGAATCTGTTAATTATCTGTATTAATTACCAATGAAAGGTCATTGAATATTCAAATGTCTCAGGTCAATATTGTCAAACAATACCTATTACTTTAAAATGGTAAATAGTGACGCGCGGTAATTCATAATATATCATTTACAGATATGTATCCAATGTAAAGTTAACAGTCCGTCCAAATGTAGGTACTTGTCCGAATCTATGCTACTTTTTAAATTGTTATTTTTTTAATATGGACGGACAAAGAAACAAAACAACATCAAACGCATGAAGATGGTTAAATTTTCAAATAGCAGTGCCAATTTCTGTCATGGAATTATTTCTTGTAAGGAAGAAATGATATTAAAAAAGAAAAGTAACTTACCGCATTTGATCATGGTAGACAGGCGCTTCTTTGTGTACAATACTGCTACCCAATCATTAGCACATAATGGTTTACCGTTAACCAATCATAATTTCCGACGCATTTGACATGACACGAGCGGCGATTTAGAAAAAAAATATGCCGAAAAGAAAAAACTGTTAGAAAATACATGTATGGTAAGAAGGTTAATATCCGTTTACCAAGATTCATTAAATAGTCAGAGTTTATTATATTCAATTGAATTCCGTGCTACAGCAAATTATTCTGGCTCAAAATTCTGATTCATCATGAAGGCACTTAAAATGTTAAACTGTTAAAATTGATCGTCTATATTTCTTTGTGTGTCATTTTTTGTATTGTCAATAAATATCTTCTCATAATGTTTCTTAACTGAACTTAATAGTTGACAGCCAAGAAAAGTTCTATAACCCGCCTCACTCGGTGTCCATCCATGTCTTCAGGGACTTTCAACTGTTCAAATAGAATTTGAAAGACTCAGATGCTGATACCATTACTTATGCCATAAGTCCATGTCAAAGAGACATCAAGATAATTTTGGACGTGACAGTGAAAAAGAACTGTTGATAAATGGGTCAAACTGTTCATGCTCAATTACCGGTAGGCTTTGGTACCAAAGGCAAGAATACTAGTTATGCTTAACTAGCCATCCTTCCCAGGGTTAGAAATCCTTCCCCAGTCTGACTTGAATATCAGCAGTATCATAACATTTGAATTTTAAAGCAATACAAAGACTCGATAACAAATTGAGATTTTAATCACCGTTGTGAAATAAATCAGGAATAGAGACAAAATTTGAAAGCTTAAATAATTTACTTTGCATATAATTGTGAATGGGTACGTCGAACCTGGGGCAGAAAATTACATTTTTAGTCCCAGGTCAGATCAGTTGTGAAGGACTATATGCAGAAATTTTCCTGAATATATAACAGACTCTGATAAAAGTCCTCTTCCCAATTGAAATTTTCTTAAAATGCAGTTTTCCCAAAAAATCTGAACTCACACCAGCTCTTTTACTTCCACATTCAGCAATTTTAGTGATAATTTTCCCAAAAAATTTAACAAATCAGCAATTTTAGGGATAACTTTCCCCAAATTCAAGAGGATGAGGCCTCTTCCCAATTAAGTGAGAAAAATCACATCATTTGTTAATTTGTCTGTTATTTGGTTCTTATATAAAAACTCTGTATATATATAAACTCTTAAATAGTTAATTTCAAAATTCTAAAAATCTCTTATTGATCAGTTAGAATTATCCATATAAAATGCTTTGATCCATATTTTATAATTTAACATGAATAAAATGTTTAAAACCATGGTATTGCACATGTTGGTATAACATAATCATCACATTCAAGGGTCTCTGGGGTATTTTATAATAAATCAATCGATCTACCAAGTAACTTTTTTTTTTGAAAATTTACTCAGGTGCTGGAATATATGCCACCACACTGACCAAGAGTAATGTATTGACAGCTTCTACATATCATTCTGTATATCCATTTTTGAAAGAGGAAAATCCCCAGACCATAGATGAGAGCCAAAATTGGACCTGGGTATCTAAGCTGGTATTTTTGCACCTGCTGGTGGTTTTCAAAGACATAGATGACCTTTTGTAATCACATTGTGTTATGTGTTTTGTACTAAAACCACCCAAAGAGCCTTGAGACAAACAGGCCAGTACATCAGCCTGGCTACAGAATGATATTTCCTGATTTTTACAGTATAAACAGCCCCAGCCATTAATTTGGTCCATTTTGGGGTTTAGGGGCTTCAATATTCTATATAATATAATTGACAAAATTAAGAAAAAAGCAATTTAAAGAGCTGATTTAGGGGCATATATACATGTATATGAAGGAAAATATTATCATAACGCCAAAGTGTAAAGGATTTTGATCAGGTTACATGACAAGATATTTTTATTTTGTCTCCAAAGTGGCCAGGGGAGGTAATACATGCTTGTTAAAGTGTCTTTATTTTTGGTAAACTTTACCATAATTATATTGGAGTAGCAAATGATGACATAAGAATGCTTGGTAATTAGACTCTTGATTTGTAACCTGTCTGAACGAGTGAAAGTCAAAAACTTAAAATACTTTCATGGTTAAGACATGGTTCAAGCAGTGAACCACATAGCAGTTTCATCAGCATCTGTTCTATCTATTATATCAAATTGAAAAAAAAAATGATGTATTTAGTTTCATTAAAAGTTATTCATGTTTTGATCCTTATGTAAGGTATACATTGCTGTCATTAATCTTAACATGAATTTAAGATATATATATTTAATGATATATGTTTAACATATATGTTATCTTGCTGCTGAACTGTTTTTGATGCTACCTGTCATTAAGAGGCAGCTGTAGGCTCAAATGACTGTCTCAAATAATTTTTTGGTCGCCCCAAAACACTCTTTGTTGTATGTGATAAAACCAAAAATGACTGTATCAAATTCAAACAGACCATCTAAAAAAAAAACTCTTTAATGACAACCCTGTGCAAGTTATACAATTATTTAAGAGCCTCTAATCTCAACCATGTCTAGATGACATATATTACATTGTATTCCACTGAACATAAAGTGTCTTGATATTTCTATTAACAAGTACATGTATTTGCGTTTCGCTTAGTTAAATTTAAGTGTTAAATATTGAGGCAAACTTAAAATTTCAACTTTGATACTCAATATTAAGAGTTAAAATCCGCTATACAGAATGGAAATGTAATTCCCATTAAAGCCTGACTGGTTCTCAAGAGACAGGGATATTTTCAGTGATGCAGAAACCTGAATGTATTAACCAGTCCCATTATGTTCATGGGCTATGAAATTTGCTATAACTCATACCCCTGTGAACATTGTCGGAGTCTGAAAATCATGAAAATGAGCCTTGAAGTCATTTATTTTATGTGCATTCCAGAAGTTTATTGTTTGACTTAAAGTTTTTCTGATTGTCCAAAATGTACAAGGCCCTTATCTTCTACATTGAATTAAAAGATAGCCTGTGGAAAGATGAATATGAAATCTCCAGACTTAAGATAAAATAAGATAAGGTTCTATTTTATGTGAATTCTTTATAAACAAACTGTGCTCTCTAAAATCCATGATAGTTTCTGAGTTCAGTTTACCATGATTTCTGCAGAAGGCCCCCTCCCCGGCATATCCTGTTAAATATAAATCAAAAGACTTGTATGAGTATTTTGTAAAAAAAAAAAAGATATTACAGCTTCTGCAATATGAAAATATATGTTGAATAATTACTAAGGTAGATAATTGAGAACATATATTACTATATACTGGTAATTATTTACATGTCATTTCATCTTCAGAAGAGAGACTTTATACTTGCTTTTCCAAAGTTACTTTTTGTATAATTTATTATTTGTAATTATATCATGAAATTGAAAACAAGATAAAATTAAATTACTTAATATGAGCAATATACAGTTAAAACAGCACTTCGCCAGATTCATGCTAATTATCATGAAAATTTAAAATGAGCAAAAAAGAGTAATTTATTCAATGCAAACAGCAAAAACAAAATAACCAAAAAAAGGTCAGTATTATTATTACTATATGTAAAAATAGCATTTGAAAGTTTAATGTGTATAGTCACACACAAAAAAAAGTGATAAATACATGTGTACTGCAGAATTTGTTATAAATGGCAGATAAGATGTAACTTATTACTTAAAACTTGAAAAATCTTTTTACTCAATACTTTTCTTGAAATAGTTTGACTCATCTGGCATGCAGCTTTAAAGCTAAGTATTTTATTTCAGTATAGGTAAGTACACATCTTGACTTATATAGTCATTTGTAGGCATTAACAAAATTTAATTGGTCAAGAGTTGCACAGTTTACAAGACTGATTGGTAGAATCTGATTTTCCAAAGTAAATGTGTTACGATTCATTTGGAATACTCTAATCCTATTTGACACAAAATATTTTTAAACACCAGTTGCACAAAAGTCATGTGGTCTGTTAAATATAAATGAATTTGAACAGTATTTTAAAATGTGTGAACAATATTTAAATGGACAGTTAATTACATATGGCTAATTAATTTATAAGATATCTTTTAAGGGTATATTTTAACTTTTTCATATAGATCTGAAAAATACTTTTAAATATGCCAACCAAAAATAAACAATTTGAGTACAAAAAAGTTGCCTGTTTAAAAATTCACATTATGAGAATGCACTGTTATCTTATAAAATTTAAATCATTTTAATTTATATATTTCAGGGATTTTTTTGGTTTATTTTATATATAGCAGAGCCAGATATTCGGTCATATTCCCAATTGAAAATTATAGTATATTATTTTCCCTATTGCAAAATAAAAATATTGAATAACAAATTCTAAGATGTTTGAAAATTAAGGTTGTCTCCCCTGTTTCGTGTTTCAATATTTGAAGATGCCATCCTAAGCAGTGATTAATTACATTCATTTAATCACTGCAAAATTTAAGTCATGCATTTTTTTCCCAATTTTTAATAAAACATTGATGAAATTCCCATTTCCATGGGTGTAAGTCATGTTCCTGAAATCCTGGAAAAAGCCCTGAATTTGAACGAATTACAAAGCTAAATGTTTATACAGACCTATTGTTGATGTTATTTATTCAATAAAATGTATAAAGTTTTCATGTCTACTGCCCTAAAAAAACACAGCATGTGATAGATCTTATAGTCAGTCTTAAAGGTCAGTCATTATAAAACTTCAAATTTAAATAAGGATTCTTTTACACAAATTCAGCCATTAAAGATTAACAAACTGCCAGCATGTTCACCTTTATATGACTGCTTGTTACATACATACAAAATAGTAAAATCATGACTGATAAATTGATAATAACCAGAGCTGAATATCCAGCTGAGCTCATTGATTGATTGGTAGTGACCAGTAACTCATGCATGATAACCTGACCCCATATTGACCAGCCCCTTAGTCAGCCCCTTTTCTTGTACTGACCTTCAAAATCCATTGGCTATAAATGGGGGGCCCAGTCTTCATAATTATAGTTTTGGGAGTTTTGACTTTTATTGAGTTTGCGCATTTTTGTATCAAATTGGAAACATTAGCTGAAAGGGTTTTTGTAAAATTTTGATAGAAGTGAAAAAAAGGATA